CAGACCCAGGCAGTCTCCAACATCACCGCCACAGCTCAGGAACTGGCCTGGCTTCCTCCCGGGCCCAGAAGGCCCCAGCTGGCCACCTCCCTTTGTTTGTCTCGGGAGGCGCAACTGCTAGGCAGACAGGGAAGGGGAATCCCTGTTCGGCCTGTCTGTCTGTTCAGCCAGCTGTTACCCAGGCCCGGGCCTCTGGTGCCCACTGAGGCCTGGCTCCTTCCTGGCCCTTTGTGTGGAAGGGACACAGGGCACGAGTGGGTACAGAGAGCACCCAGGGCTTTCCGAAAAAATTGCCCAGGCCCCCCACAGATGAGATAGGAGCTATGTGGTTCGGTAAACCTCAGTTCCAGCTACAGGCAAATGGGATTAACTGGGCACTTACTGTGTTGGGGCCCTGGCCTAGCGCCTTGCATGTCAGAGCCCTCCAGATACTGTTTGGCCATCCTACGGGGTCCTATCAGGATCTCAAGTTTCCAAAAGAGGAAACAGGCTTGGGGTCATAAGGGAAGGAAGGCAGCAGAGGTGGTAATCCCACGCAGATCTCTCTGACCCCAAGATCATGATCTTTTTTTTTTTTTTTTCCTGAGACAGGGTCTCGCTCTGTTGCCCAGTTTGGAGTGCAGTGGCACAATTATAGCTCACTGCAGCCTCAAATTCTGGGACTCTCATACGATCCTACCGCCTCAGCCTCCTGAGTAGCCAGGGCTATAGGGATGTGCCACCATGCCTAGCTAATTTTTAACTTTTTGTAGAGATAGGGTCTTGCTATGCTGCCCAGACTAGTCTCAAACTCCTGGCTTCAAGTGATCCTTCTACCTCAGTCTCCCAGAGAGCTGGGATTATAGGCATACGCCACTGCGCCTGGTCCCCAACTGTGCTCTTAATCATAGCTCATTTCTCTTAGTGGAGCCACAGGGGAAGGTGGTAAGGGGCTTAAGCAGGAACTCTACCTCTCACCTCTCTTTTCTGTCTCCCAGAGACCACACCGCTTTCCAGACTCTCCTCATGGATGAGGTCCTGCCCCTGATGCCTTGGGAGACCCTGTTGGCACAGGGGAGTCCCCAGGGCTCGCCTGCCCTCCCAGCTGGGCAGCGGAAGCAGCAGCCACAGGGTGACAGGGCCCAGGGCCTGGCCTCTGAGTCCTGGAAGCTCCTGGAAGTGCCCATCATTCACATAACACCATCCAGTGATGGGGAGTCCCCTGCCTGCACCCCAACCCTCCAACGCCGGCAGCAGCTGAGGACGCCAGACCCACAGAGTCCGTCCCAGGACAGGTCAGACTTGGGCAGTGGGACGGGAAAGAGAGTCTCTCTGTCTAGGGAGGGTTCTCTCTGTCAAGGGTGGGTTCCTTGTGGCTGCGGGTCAGAGCGCAACCTTAGTCCCACAGAGCGCTGACTCAAAGCCACGAAACAGATGCACAAACAAAAGGTAAAAACTGAGGGTGTGCATTGGGACAACCAGCTATGAGTGAGCTCAGCTGAGCCCTGCCTAGTAAGAATGGAGGGGAAGCTGGGCGCAGTGGTTCATGCCTATAATCCCAGCACTTTGGGAGGCCGAAGCTGGTGGATCACCTGAGGTCAGCAGTTCAAGATCAGCCTGGCCAACATGGTGAAACCCTATCTTGACTAAAAATACAAAATTAGCCAGCAATGGTGGTGGGCATCTGTAATTCCAGTTATTCAGGAGGCTGGGGCAGGCGGTTCGCTTGAACCTGGCAGGCAGAGGTTGCAGTGAGCCGAGATTGCGCCACTGCTCCATCCTGGGCGACAGAGCAAGACTCTGTCTCAAAAAACAAACAAACAAACAAAAAAAAAACGAGTGGATGGGTGGAGGGGAACCCCACCCAGTGTTTTTCAAACTGTGGGTCAAGACCCATTTAAGGGCCATAAAACTAATATAGTGAATTGCAATCAGCCCTTTCTTTCCTTTTTGAGACAGCATCTCTCTCTGTCACCCAGGCTGAAGTGCAGTGGCACGATCTTGGCTCACTGCAACTTCCATCGCTCCCCCCTCCACCCAGTAGCTGGGACCACAGATGTGCACCACCACACCCGTCTATTTTTTTGTATTTTTAGTAGCGACGAGGTCTGACCATGTTGCCCAGGCTGGTCTTGAACTCCTGAGCTCAGGTGATGCACCCTCCTCAGCCTCCCAAAGTGCTGAGATTGTGACGCAGCACCCGACCGCAATCAGCACTTCTTTATCCAAATCAGCATAAAATAGAATTGCAAATAACACCATGCATAAGGCCTAGTGAGGGTAAGTGTGGTTTCTTACAACTTCCGTGGCATTATGTGTATTTCTAAGTGCGTGCTGGAAGCCCATGTGAAAGGTATTTCCTGCTATAGATCACAGGCAAAAAAAAAAGGAGCAAGAGAAGAAGAAGAAAACAAAGAAAAAAAGAAAGTTTAAACACAACTTCTGCAAAGAAACACTACCTCTGGTACAAGGAGACAGAAAATGGGAGGTTCAGGGCCATAGGGGGAAGAGGAAAGAACTCTACTGACCCTGAACAGAAGTAGCCACTGTGGTTTCTTCCAACAAGGGACACTCGATAAGAGTTAAAGTTTATGAAGCAGAGCTTTGTGCATGGATGTGGAGAAATTGCAGAAATGCTGATGATGGGGGAGAGCAAGTTGCAAATGAAACAGAGGAAGCCTAATCATGTATCTTTTAAAAAGGACACTGGATAATGGGCGATATTGTTGGTGGATGCCTCCTGATGTAGCAAAAGGACAGAAAAGTGCACAGGGGCCAGGCGTGCTGGCTCACGCCTGTAATCCCAGCACTTTGGGAGGCCAAGGCAGACAGATCACCTGAAGTCAGGAGTTCGAGACCAGCCTGGCCAACATGGTGAAACCCCATCTCTACTAAAAACACAAAAATTAGCCAGGCGTGGTAGCGCGTGCCTGTAATCCCAGCTATTCAGGAAGCTGGGGTGAGAGAATGGCTTGAACCCAGGAGGTGGAGGCTGCAGTGAGCCGAGATCGAGCCACTGAATTACTCCAGCCGGAGTGACTGAGCAAGACCTTGTCTCAAAAAAAAAAAAAAAAAAAAAAAAAAAAGCACAGGAAGGAAACACACTAACTGCAGGGCAGGCAGCAGGCGCTCCTTGGCGGACACGGGAAGAGAAAGGAGGGATGGGGAGCCAGGCCTTTGGTTGTAACTGTAATCACTTATTTCTTTTAAAACAAGGACCTGAAGCAAAATGGCAAAATGTCCACATCTATTCTATATAGGTACAGGGGACACAGAGGACCGTTATATTTTTTTCCTTTTTTTTTTTTTTTTGAGATGGAGTCTTGCTCTGTTGTCCAGGCTGGAGTGCAGTGGCGTGATCTTGGCTCACTGCAACCTCCACCTCCCGAGTTCAGGCAATTCTCCTGCCTCAGCCTCCTGGGTAACTGGGATTTTAGGCGCAAGTCACTACACCTGGCTAACTTTTTTGTATTTTTAGTAGAGATGGGGTTTCACCATGTTGGCCAGGCTGGTCTCGAACTCCTGATCTCAGATGATCCACCTGCCTTGGCCTCCCAAAGTGCTGGGATTACAGGCATGAGCTACTGCGCCCGACCTGAAATAAATATTCTTTAATTAACAAAGTAAAAGCATTACAGAAGAAACAGACCAAAGAGAAATCTAAAGAGATCAGTTGGATAGAGGAAGGTGGTGGGAGGAGGGCCTCTTTGACATTGGCGGGTGGGAGGCAGCAAATGTCAGATGCGGGATGGGGGGTTTGGGGGATGGGGAGTAGCACGGGAGGTAGGGCATGGCAGGGGTGAGGTGGGGGAGGGGGTGGTGCTGTCCAAGCAGAGGGAATAGCCGGTGCAAAGGTCTTGGGTAGGAGACAGGAAGGTGCCTGGTGAGTTAGAACACCGGGAATGCGGGATGGAGGGCATGAGCGGGGTTGGGGGGTGCGATGAGGAGCTGAAGTCAGACAGCTGACAGGGGCCTTGGGTGCCAAGGTGAGGACTTTGCTTTTACCTGGAGTGAGGTACAGCTGGGGCAGAGCTCTGAGCCAGGAGGGTTGTTACCTGACTCAGGTGGTCCCAGGCGCTCTCTGGCTGCAGGTGAGAACAGACAGTAGAGGCAGGGATGGGAGCAGGGAGATCAGGCAGGAGACTGCTGGGATGTCCAGGCAGGAGAGGATGGAGGCTGGGCCAGGGTGTGGGCAGTGGAGGAAGAAGAGTTTAGAATCTGGAGCGATTTGATTTTATACGTGGAGCCCACAGAGTTTGTGACAGATTGGATGTGGTGTGAAGGAAAGGAGAAGGTCAGGAAAGACTCCGAAGTTCTGGGCCTGCCATTCATCAAAATGGAGAAGTCAGGTGGGGTTCTCTTGCAGGAGGAGGGGAAGGGTTGATGTAGAGCGATGGGAAGGGCGTTTTTTCAAAAGAGGCGGGGACAGCGTACCCTGGAGAGCGCTGGGGAGCCACGGCCCGGAGCTGTGAGGTGGGACTCGCATTTCTGAGCGGTTGGGCCAGAAGTCCAGGACACCACGACTCTGACCTCTTGCAGAGTGGGGGACGCAAGTTATGGCGTCAGGGCAGGATCGAATCCAACTCTGCCGGCTACCTACCGGGTGACCCCAAGTCACTTCCCAGCTTACAGGCCGGGCTTCTCCTTCCGTAAAAGGACTGCTTTTGCCCGTTCCTGCGCTGTCCCCGGGAAAAGCCCTTACCACCTAGTCAGTGGGACTCCCAGCACTGGGATGATGAGCCCAAGGTCTCAGCACAGATAAGAGCTAGGGAGGCTGGATTCTGACTTAGTACTTGGACTGGCCGACCGAGACTGGGAAGTCCCTAGAAACGGAGGCACAGGACCTCCTGGGACCAGGAACCCGGGCTCAGAGACTGGCAGAGGGAAGGAGGAGGCCAAAAGGCCCCACCCCTTCCCGCCAGCTTCGGGCTCCCTCCCCAATACACACACCTCAGTTTCCCAGCATCTCCAGTCCTCCCCCACCTTCGCCCCGGCTCTCAGGTTCCTCCTTGGGAGGTCCGGGAGCTCCTGGCCAGGGGCATAGTAGTTGCTGGGGACCCTTTTCTAGGTACTAGGGGAGGTGGCTCCCCAGCTTGCGGCAGGCAGCTGCCTCCACGATGTTTGGTTTTAATAAAGTCTCTTTGTCTCCTTCTCTGTCTCTCTGCCCCTCTGTCGCCCCTTCTCTGTCCAGTCCCTCTCTCCCCGGCTTCTCCCTCCTTCTAGGCCTCGGCGGCCCCTCCCCGCCTTCCCTCCCGGGCGGGGGGCGGCGCCGTGACGCGGCGGGGCGGGGGAAGGAAGGGGGTGTCGCTGACGCCGCGGCGGCCTCCGGCGGCTCCGGCCTTTTGTGCGGGCGGTTGGGTCGGGTGGGGGCGGCGGCCGCGGAAGGCCAGGCCGGTGCCCTGCGGGGACGCCCAGCGCAGCCCAGCCCCGCGCAGCCCGGCCCTGCCCTGCCCTGCCCTGCGCCCGGGGCGCGCCCGCCGCGCCGCATCCATGTTCGAGTAAGGACCTGGCGGCCGGGGCTCAGGGACCGGGCGCGCCGGGGAGGCCACCGGAGGGAGGGGGCGCCGCGGGCTCGGGGAGGAGGCGGCGCGGCCGCTGCAGAGGTCGGGGGCCTCTGCACGTGGCCCTGGCCGGGGCGATGGAGGTGGGGGCGGGGCAGGGGGCCCCCGGGCGAGGGGTGCAGTTGGGGGGTGGGGCGCGGACGCAGGGCAGGGCCTGAGATCTGGGTCGCCACTGCCGGCCAGCGACGCACTGGATTGCGGGGTTTGGCTGGGGGCCCGCCGGCTCATCTGGCGGGGAGGGCGGCCTGCGGGGAGGGCCCCCAGGCCTGGCACCCCCCTGCCTGGTAAGCGAGGGGTGAACGCGAGGCAGAACTGGGGCTCTGGCCTGGGATGGAGGGAGTATCGGGACCAGCCCAGGCCCACAGGCCGCGGAGCTCTGGGGGCGCCTGGAGCAGCCCCTTCCTGGCTGGGCCCCCTCCCACCGTCCTCGACTGTTGTGGGTCTCGCGGCTGCCGGGGGTGGGGGCTTCCTGCGTCTCCCCCGTGCTTGAGATCATGGGGGGCGGGGGGTCCTGTGTGCTTGGAATTGACTTCTTACTCCCCTTCCGGTCCAGGTGGGCGCATGTGCTTCCGACTCTGAATTGTCTTGCCAGTGTGTGTCCATGTGTCTGGGGCTGCTAGCCTGTAGCAGCTTTGGGCCTCTGATAGGGTTCCTGTGTGTAACTTACCATTAATTCTGACCGCGGCTCTGTATGTTACTGTAAGTTACCTGTGTGTGTCTGGGGTTCCAAGCCTGTGGCTGTGAGCAGCTGGTTGTGTCCGCGTGTCCTGTGTCTCATTCCATCTGTGGCTCCCTGTGCAAATATAAATTACCCCTGTGTGTCTGAGTGTGACGTTGGAGTGTGTGTACGTGTGTCTGGAGCTACTGTGTGTAGCAGCCCTGATCCCTCTTGGGCTGTGTGTGTTTTACCATTAATTCCATCTGTGGCTCCAAACGTCGCTGTAAGTTACCAGTGTGCTTCCCATTGTGACTTAGTGGTGTGTGTACAAGTGTGCCTGGGGCTCCGGGTTCTACCGTGACCCTCTGTGCCTGCATATGCTTGTAATTTAGCTCTGAAACTCTTTTTTTTTTTGAAACAGAGTCTGGCTCTGTCGCCCAGGCTGGAGTGCAGTGGCGCGATCTCAGCTCACTGCAACCTCCGCCTCCTGGGTTCAAGCGATTCTCCAGCCTCAGCCTCCCTCGTAGCTGGGATTACAGGGGCGTGCCACCACGCCTGGCTAATTTTTGTATTTTTGGTAGAGATGGCGTTTCCCCACATTGGCCAGGCTGGTCTTGAACTCCTGTCCTCAGGTGGTCCACCCGCCCTGGCCTCCCATAGTGCTGAGATTACAGGCATGAGCCACCGTGCCTGGCTTGAAACTCATTTAGCTCTGTGTGCCAATGTAAGTTACCTGTGTGTGTCCATTTGTGACATTGTTGTGTGTCTGGGGCTCTGTGAGTGTGACTGTAACTTACATCTGATTCCATCTTTGTGTGAACATTCCCTTGTGTATCCCTTTGTGACGTATTGAGTGGTACCTAGGCCTCTCTGTGTACAGCTGAGACCCTCTGTGGTTTTGTGTGTGTGTGTGAACAGTGTGAGACCTCTTGTGGCTCTCTGTGGGCTTGGGACCCTCCCTTCTAAGATCCTGGGAGTACCTAGGGCACTTTGGAGGGCATAATGATAACTGACGATGTCCACCTGTTACAGTTAGTATAGCATGTGCCACACATTATTCCACTACCTGGCCGCTGTGTCCTCGAGATCCACACCCCGCTGGGCTGCATTATTCCCAAGTCCTGCTTGACTGTGTGAGCTCCCGGGCTCTCCACCAGCGACAGCCACTGACACCTCCACCTCTTGCCACTGTATTTTTTCTTTTTCTTTTCTTCTTTTTTTTAGACGCAGTCTTGCTCTGTCGCCCAGGCTGGAGTGCTGTGACACGATCTCGGCTCACTGCAACCTCCGCCTCCTGGGTTCAAGCGATTCTCCTGCCTCAGCCTCCCGAGTAGCTGGGATTACAGGCACTTGCCACCACACCTGGCTAATTTTTGTATTTTTAGTAGAGATGGGGTTTCACTATGTTGGTCAGGCTGGTCTCGAACTCCCGACCTCGAGTGATCCACCCACCTCAGCCTCCCAAAGTGCTGGGATTACAGGCATCAGCCACTGCGCCCAGCCCCTTGCCACTTTAGAAGTAGCCTTTGCTCTGTCTTCCCTGCCAGACAGTGAGCCCCATGCAGGCACAGGGACAACTCAGTGGGGATGTTGGCCGACCGTGGGACCTGATTTACCTGGGACTATGTATGTGTCACCTGGGGTCTTTTGGGACCAGTCTCACAGTATGGCTGTCTTCAGCTCTTGGCTGAGATTTCCTCCTGCCTGTGTGTGTGAATATAATTTATCGGGGACTTTCTGTGGGTCGCTGTTTGTTTCTGTGACCCTCTGCAGCTCTGTGTCTGTGTGCACACATGCATGTGTCTGGATAACTTTTCTGGGAAATTGCCATGTAACTGTAGCAGACTAGCAATGCTGCAGGTGTGTGTGTGTGTGTAATTTGTGGCTCTCTGTAGCATACCTGTGATGCTGTTGCTCTGTGCGTGCGTGCGCACGCGCACATGAGAGAGAGGAAAGAGACTCCTTGCAATTGTAGGGAAATGCAGTTTACCCCTGACACCTACTGTGTGACTCTCATCATCGAGGTTCCCATTTATGCACACCTGTGGATGCATCTGCCCTTTTCTGATCAGAGGCAGCTCTAGGCCCATTGGGGCCTAGGAAGTTGGAGGTCAGGTGCCTGCTGTAGCAAAACCCCATCCCTTCCGAGTCTCCCCACCCCTATAACTGCCCCCAGGCTCCTCCCTTCACTCTGCCTTCAGCTAGCCCGGTTGGGCAACCCCAGGGCCCGCCCTTGAGTACTTCCTCTTTGCCCAGCCCTGGAGCAAAAACTGGGGGCGTGGTCCTTGCCCTGTCTGTGTGCCTTGAGCCTCTCCTCAAGCTTCCTTCCCCCAGGCCCTGCCCCTAGACCTGTGGTTGTGGGAAAGTAGGGCAGGTCTGTGTTTCAGGCTAGAGGGCTGAGAAAAGCAGACAGGGGAGGATGTGGTCCCTGATACTTAAGAGTCCCTCCCTGCTCACCAGTGCTGTCTGGGTGAAGCCAAACTCCCGACCAGGATCACCAGGCCTGTGCACCTCCGCTGCTCCCCCAGCCCCACTGGCCACCTCACTCATGCTCAGACCTGCCAGGCTCAGTCCTGTCCCTGAACTTGATGTTCTGCACCTGGAACAGTCTCCCAGCCTTTGCCACATCTGTTCTTTGTCCTCAGGTGAACAAGTGGGCTTTGTTCAGGGAGGCTTTTGCTGACTCTTACTAAAGAAATTGGTTGGGCACAGTGGCTCATGCCTTTAATCCCAGCACTTTAGGAGGCCAAGGTGGGAGGATCACTTGAGTTCAGGAGTTTGAGACCAGCCTGGGTAACATAGCAAGACCCCACCTCTACAAAAACTTTAAATTTCAGCTAGGCGTGGTGGTGTGAGACTGTAGTCCCAGCTACTTGGGAAGCTAAGGCTGGAGGATTACTTGAGCCCAAGAGTTCGGTCCTGGAGTGACCTGGGAGGCTGAGGCTTGAGAATTGCTTGAGCCCAGGAGTTCGGAGCTGCAGTTAACCATGATTTCGCCAGTGTACTGCAGTGACAGAGTGGGTGACAGAGTATGACCCTGTCTCTAAAAAAAATTTTAAAAGCATCTCTGCCCCCCTAGTTGTCCCATCCCTTGTCTCTGTGGTCCTCAAACTTGAATGTGCATCAGCATCTCTGGCCCCACCCCAGTTCTGATTCAGGAGGTTGGGAGTGGTCCTGGACTCTGCCTTTTGAACACCTTCCAAGTCCTGCCTGCTGCTCTCTGGGGACCATTCTGAGCAGCATTGTTTTATGGCGTTCACCAGTGTCTGAGGTCGCCATCCCTGCTCATTTGTTTTCTTACTGATGGTCTGTGTTTCCCTGTTACAGCATCAGGTCCCTGCAGGCAGGGACTTGTATTGGCTTTGCTCACTTCCTTGTGGCAGGTGCACGGTATGTAGAGGTGCACAGGCTGGAGTTGAGGGTCAGTCATGGAGGCTCCTAACATCAGGCGTAGTGCTTGTGAGGTCCTGGTCAGGGTCAGCAGAGCGTCATGGACAGTGGTGCACTGGGCTGGCAGCCGGGCCGTACACTCCATTTTAGTCCGCCAGTCCCCGCGGGAGGGGAAGCAGCATAGTTAAACCAGGTGCCTTTCAGGTACTGGGCTTTGTGGATTCGCCTCACCTCCATCTCTGTGCAACCCTAGGAGGTGAGCACTGTAATTCCCATCATACCCAAGAGGAAACTGAGGCACAGGAGGCTTCAGACACTGGCTCAGGGTCACATGGAAAGGACGTGGCTGTACTTGACTGGAAGCTCCTTGGACCGTGGGGCCCACACTCCAGGCTGCTGCCCCAGAGACCTGCGGGTCCAAGGAGTCGTGCACCTGCTGGACCTAAGTTCTATGAGGGGTGGGGGAGGAGGGCCGATCACCCAGGCCATCCTCAACAGTAAGTGCTCACGGAGCACCTCCTGTGCGCCAGGCCCTGCTCTAGGTGATGGGGACACTCACATCGTGGGTGGGGGGTGTGGTGGGGAGAGATGGATAAGAACTAGGGGAAATACTGAAGGTCCCGGGAGGCAGCAGGGAGATGCGCTTTGCAGAAAGAGAGCAGGGAGGAGGGGGATCGGGAGGGCGGGGTAGGGGGTGTTAAATAGGGAGGTAGGGAAGGTGTCCACTGAGCAGAGACCTGAGGGAGGTCGGGGAGCCCTGTGGATGTGGATGTCTGGGAGGAAGGGCATTTTGAGCAGAGGCACCGGCCAAGGCAGGAACTGGGAGAGGGAGTGCAGGGCTGATGAGGGCAGAGAGGGACCAGGCAGGAGGGCCCTGATGGACTTAGGTGATCCCCGGCTCCCTCCGACTGCAGATGGGGGCAGGGACGGGAACAGGGAGACCAGGGAGGAGGCTGCTGGGATGGCCCAGGGGAAAAGCAGTGGCCTGGGCCACTGGCTATTTAATTATTTTATTCATTTATTTTATTCCACACGTTTATTTTACAAGTGTTACATTGTAAGTGTTGCCTACCCTGCATCCTGTCCCACACTGTGCTGGGGACAGAGCAGTGACCCACAGACCCATGAGGGACTTGGACCTGTCGTCGGAGAGTGACGGCCCAGAGTAGTCTGGGATGGGAGCTGCCCAGGGGACTGTGGGGTCACGAATGAGCCAAAGTCCTGAAGGCAAATAAGGATTTGCTAGACAAAGAAAAACTATGGTCTGGACAGACAGAATGGCATATATTAAGGCTTGGAGTTAAGGGAGACAACTTTGAGTTGCCCCAGGTGGTGGAGGGAATCCCACCTGCACCCCAGAATACATCGAGGCCCCCAAATGGGAATCCTGCCTTGAAATAAACCAAGCCTGTGGCCAGGTGCAGTGGCTCACACCTGTAATCTCCTAGCTCTTTGGGAGACTGAGGCAGGTGGACTGCGTGAGCTCAGGAGTTCGAGACTAGCCTGGGCAACGTGGTGGAACCCTGTCTCTACTAAAATACAAAAAATTAGCCAGGCGTGGTGGTGGGTGCCTGTAATCCCAGCTACTCGGGAGGCTGAGGCAGCAGAACTTGAACCTGGGAGGTGCAGGTTGCAGTGAGCTGAGATAGTGCCACTGCACTCCAGCCTGGGTGACTCTTTGTCTCCAAAAAAGAAAGAAAGAAAAATAAGCCAGGCCTGTATCCTACGGCAAGTGGTTTGCCGCTTGGAGCTAGTTTCCTCCTCTGTAACGCAGGCATGGTTAATAGTATCAAAGGCACCGGCTTGAGAAATAATACAGTTAATCATACGGAGAGCTTGACATAGTTCCTGATAAGGAGTCAACAAAGAATGTCCTTTTAAGGTTCCCGAGGCCATCCCCACAGTCCTTATTACAGTTCGTGTTTGCACAGTCAAGTTGGGAGTGTCCTGTTTGTTCAGTGTCTGCCTCCCCACCAGAAGGCTCATTCCCCAAGGGCAGGGGCTGTGTCCGGCGGGCTCTGCTGATGCCAGCTCCAGCCAGCGTGCAGATTACTCATTTAGCCTCCGGTGTTTATTGAGCATTTGCTTTGTGCCTAGAGTTTTGGGCTGTAGGGACCCGGTGGTAACCAAGACCTCCTGAAGGTCACAGTCTGGGTAGACAGTAAACAAACAATAAATAAGCAGGACACTCCAGATAACCTGAGGTGTGGCAACGGAGGTGACTGCCTTAGGCTGGATAATGGGGAAGGAGAGCATTTGAGCTGAAGAGGACAGAGCCAGTGATGCCAGGCCATGGGAGGACATTCAGGTGGAGGGACTACTAGTGTGGAGGCCTTGGCATGGGAATGAGGTTGGAGAGCTTAGGGACAAAAGCAGGCTGGGATGGCCAGGGTGGAGGGAGGACAGGGAGAGGGAGGACATGAGGTCAGCGAGGTTCCAGGGCCAAATCACCACACCAGGGTGAGGTCTCTGCTTTTACCTGGAGTGAGATGCAACCAGGGCAGGGCTCAGACCTGACTGAGACAGTTACAGGCCCCCTCTGGTTGTCGGACACCAGGGAAGAGGCTGCTGGGATGTCCAGGCTGGAGGTGATGGAGGCTGGAGCAGGGAGAAATGGGTATAATAAAAATAATGGATGCCAGGCACGGTGGCTCACACCTGTAATCCCAAAATTTTGGGAGGCTGAGGCGGGCGGATAACCTGAGGTCAGGAGTTCAAGACCAGCCTGGCCAACATGGTGCAACCCCATCTCTACAAAAATTAGCCAGGCATGATGGTGGGTGCCTGTAATCTCAGCTACTTAGGGAGCTGGGGCAGAAGAATCGCTTGAACCTGGGAGGCAGAGGTTGCAGTGAGCTGAGATTGTGCCATTGCACTCCAGCCTGGGCGACAGAGCGAGACTCCATCTCAAACTAAAAATAATACGGGCGGATCACGAGGTCAGGAGATCGAGACCATCCTGGCTAACACGGTGAAACCCCGTCTCTACTTAAAAAATACAAAAAACTAGCCGGGCGAGGTGGCGGGCGCCTGTAGTCCCAGCTACTCGGGAGGCTGAGGCAGGAGAATGGCGCGAACCCGGGAGGCGGAGCTTGCAGTGAGCTGAGATCCGGCCACTGCACTCCAGCCTGGGTGGCAGAGCGAGACTCCGTCTCAAAAAAAAAAAAAAAAAGGAAATAGGGCTGGGTGCAGTGGCTCACACCTGTAATACCAGCACCTATGGTAGTGTCCAAAGTGGGAGGATCACTTGAGGCCAGGAGTTTGAGAACAGCCTGGGCAACATAACTAGACCCTATCTGTACAAAAATGTTTTAAAAATAAAAAAGCTGATGCGGGGGGGTGCACCCGTAGTCCCAGCTACCCGGGAGGCTGAGGCGGGAGGATCTCTAGAGCCCAGGAGCTCGAGGCTGCAGTGAGCCATGATTGTGCCACTACACTCCATCCTGGGTGACAGAGCGAGACCCTATCTCTAAAAATAAAAATAAGAATAAATAATGGAAATAGATTTTGAAGTGAGAGGTGAGGAAAATAAATTAAGAAAGATGATTAGGGTTTAGCTCCAACAACTGAGTGGAAAGTTGCTGTTCAATACATATTTGTTGTATGAATTAGGAAGTTAACATATTTGTTGTATGAATTAGGAAGTTAATAGCAGGTATAGGCCAGGCATGGTGGCTCACGCCTGTAATCCCAGCATTTTGGTAGGCTGAGGTGGGCACATCACTTGAGGTCAGGAGTTTGAGGCCAGCCTGGCTGACATGGTGAACCTGTGTCTCTACTAAAAATACAAAAATTAGCCAGGCATGGTAGTGTGATCCTGTAATCCCAGCTACTCGGGAAGTTGAGGCAGGAGAATCACTTGAACCCAGGAGGAGAAGGTTACAGTGAGCTGAGATCACACCACTGCACTCCAGCCTGGGCGACAGAGCGAAAAACTCCGTCTCAAAATAAAACAAAACATAGCAGGTGTCGTCGTCGAGAGCTCTCTGTGCCACAGTCTGAGATAATTACTTTATGTGGGCTGGGCATGGTGGCTCATGCTTGTAATTCCAGCACTTTGGGAGGCTGAGGCCAGAGGATTGTTTGAGGTCAGGATTTTGAGACCAGCTTGGGCAACTTAGGAAGACCCCATCTCAAAAAAAATTAAAGTGGGCTGGGCATGGTGGCTCGCACCTGTAATCCCAGCACTTGGGAGGCCAAGGTGGGCGGATCGTTCGAGACCAGCCTGGCCAACATGGTGAAACCCCATCTACTAAAAATACAAAAGTTAGCCATGTGTAGTGGCAGGAACCTGTAGTCCCAGCTACTTGGGAGGCTGAGGCAGGAGAATCAGTTGAACCCAGGAGGTGGAGGTTGCAGTGAGCCGAGATCATGCCACTGATGCCAGCCTGGGCGACAGAGCAAGACTCTGTCACAAAAAATAAATAAAGTAAAATAAAGGAAGTGCTTTACATGTCCTGATGTGTTTAAGCCCCAAAACAACCAGATGAGGACATGTATTTATTATCCCTGGATTACTGATGAAGTAACCGTAGCACAGGGACGTTAAGGAGCATGTTCTGAGTCTCACTGCTGGGAAGAGGAACGGGATAGCTGGGTGGATGGGTGTGTATTCGGGTGGGCCTCTGAAAATAGGCCTGTCCCCGAACCCCAGCCTGTTTCTTCCAGTTAACACTTCTCTTCCTCTTCCTGCCCCCAGCACCACACCCCACTCTGGCCGGAGCACGCCAAGCAGCTCCCCATCGCTCCGGAAGCGGCTGCAGCTCCTGCCCCCAAGCCGGCCCCCACCTGAGCCAGAACCAGGCACCATGGTGGAGAAGGGGTCGGATAGCTCCTCAGAGAAGGGTGGGGTGCCTGGTACCCCCAGCACCCAGAGCCTAGGCAGCCGGAACTTCATCCGAAACAGCAAGGTTGGTGCAAACCCAGGTCGGGTGGGGAGAGGGCTGGGGGGGAGCTGGCCGGTGATCTAGGGGCTCATCCTGACTCCTCTCCTTTCCTTTGCAGAAGATGCAGAGCTGGTACAGTGTAAGTGTCTGGGCAAGGGGCTTGCTGGAGGGTTGGGAGGACAGGGTGCTGGGCCAGGAGCCCCAGGCTGCAGCAGTCAAGGAGTGCGTGCTGAGATGGAGTGGGTGCAGACCTAGGGTCACATTCTGTGCTGTTATTTATGTGCTGTGTGACCTTGGGTGAGTTACTTAACCTCTCTGGGCCTCTCTCTGTCCTTGAGAAACAGCTCCACCTTACAAGGCTGGAGGGAACATTGAATGAGTCAGTGATGCTGGTGGGTGCTTGGTGCAGGGCCTGGCTTACGTAAGAAATCTGTAAATGGCAGCTGTCACTGCGGTTACTGGTGTGTTGTGTGCATTGGAATCTGTCAGGGACTTAAGAGGCTGAGGGGGTTCCAGGAGCTTTGTGGGGCAGAATTGGGAGTGTGAACCCCCATCCAGATTCTCACCTCCCAAACTTCCTCAGATGCTGAGCCCCACTTACAAGCAGCGTAATGAGGACTTCCGGAAACTGTTTAGCAAACTGCCCGAAGCAGAACGCCTCATTGTGGGTGAGTCCCGGACCCCCAGTCCCAGCTCCTAGCCTGGCCCTGTGACTCCCTGCCAGCCCGCGGGCGCCAGCACAGCCTCGTGACTCGGGTGTCCTCCTGTCTCTCTCCGACCACTCTCAGATTACTCCTGCGCCCTGCAGCGCGAGATCCTGCTCCAGGGCCGCCTCTACCTCTCCGAGAACTGGATCTGCTTCTACAGCAACATCTTCCGCTGGGAGACCACCGTGAGCCCACGGCGGGGCGGGGTGCAGGGGCAGGGGCCCTCACGTCCAGGCCCCACCCCGCTCCTATTGATCATTCTGCTGTCCTCAGATCTCCATCCAGCTGAAGGAAGTGACATGCCTGAAGAAGGAAAAGACGGCCAAGCTGATCCCCAATGCCATCCAGATCTGTACAGAGAGCGAGAAGGTGACGGAGGACCCGGTGACGGGACCACGCGGTCCCCCCTCTCAGCAGGCCGCCTCCCCCAACCATGCAGAGCCCCGTTTGTGCTGCATCCTGAGTTCTCTCCGTGCTGTCCCCTTCTTTCTGTTCTCCCGGCCCAGGCGCCCATCACCCCTGACCTGATCCCTGCACCAGCCTCTCCTCTCTTTCCCTGCAACCTGTCACCTCACACAGCTGCTCAGGAACAGCAGAAATAGTAAAACTCTTCCATGCATGTGGCACCTCAGCCGCCCCTCCCTTCGTAAGTCTCCCCTGATGCTGTGTCCTGTCCCTGTCATCATGGCCTCATGTCCGTTGGTTGCAAGATGGCTTTCTCACCAGCGGTCCAATAAGAAGGGGGACAGGTGTAGGGGACACTTCCCAGCAGACTTCCCTTTGTGTTTTGTTGGTTAAAAGTGGATCTGGCCAGGTGCAGTGGCTCATGCCTGTAATCCCAGCATTTTGGGGAGGCTGAGGTGGGAAGATTGCTTGGGTCTAGGAGATCGAGGCTAGCCAGGGCAACATAGTGAGACCCTGTCTCTTAAAAAACCCCCAAAAATTAACCGGGTGTGGTAGCACACACCTGTAGTCCCAGCTACTCACTCAGGAGGCTAAGACGGGAGGATGGCTTGAGCCCAGGAGGTTGAGGCTATAGTGAGCCGGGATCACACCACTGCACTCCAGCCTAGGTGACAAAGCCAGACCCTGTCTCAAAAAAAAAAAAAAAGATCAACTGACCATTCTTAGTGGCAAAGGAGGCTGGGAAAGTTCCCTGGGCTTCCTCCATCATATCCCAGCCTCTCTGGGCTGACCCTGTCTAGAGATGCATCTGTCCCCTCCCTGGACTGGGAACTCCAAGGACAGGGCCAGCGGCCGTCTCCCCATCCCAGTGATTCCGGCATTGTCCAGCGCAGGGCTGGGCGCAGGACAGACGTTCTGTGGAACTAATGCAGAGGTGAATTAGTGGATTCACGGGGACAAAGATGTGGCATCAGCGCAGATGAGGGTGCCGCTTCTCCTCCTCTGTCCTGGTCTCTCCCCAGCCTGCTCACACCTCTGTCTCTCTACCTGACAGCATTTCTTCACTTCCTTCGGGGCCCGTGACCGCTGCTTCCTCCTCATCTTCCGCCTCTGGCAGAATGCGCTGCTTGAAAAGGTGGGCCTGGGTGAGGCCTGGGTGGGGATGGGGAGTTCCCAGGGGGTTCATGGAGCCAGGGACCCCAGAACTTGCCAAGCTGTAGGCAGCCCAGCTCTTCTCCATGGGCACCAGGCCCGGTGCCCCTGCAGCTCCTCCCTGGGCCCCGCCTGACCCTGAAGCTGAGTCTCTGGCAAAGGGACATGAATTGGTGTAAACCGTCATAATTCTTCCCTGGGGCTGGGAATGATTTTCACCCTGAAGGAAGTCCAGGTTCCGCTGGCAGTGGGGGAGCGTGGGGTGTGGATAGAGGTTGGGTGGTCATCATAGGATACCGGCTATGGCTGGCCCACAGCACCTCAGAGAGCCCCAGCCCCGTCCTCTGGCTGAGCGGCACTCACGTGCTGCCTTCTCAGGGGCTCCGATCTCCCTGGGGCAGGCAGGCGTGCTGAGGGTCCCATTCAGCATCCTGAGAGGGACAGAGCACAGTCAGACCCTAAGGAGGACAGGGCAGATCCCCGGAGTTCCAGCTCCATCCCCTGGGGCAAGTGATTGAACCCCATCTGTCAAATGGGAGCCATCCCCACTTCACAGCACCCAGAATTGTGCCCAGAATATATACTCAGTCGTGTCAGCTCTTAGGAGCAGAGTAGCCCAGAGTAGGGTCACATCTCAGCACTGCCACTTCCTGGCAGGACCTTGGCATGTCACCTTGCACTTCTCAGCACCATTGTCTTAAAAGGATGATGAGGTTAGCACCTAATTTCCAGATGGTTATGAAGACACAGTGAGTTAGCACATCTGTAAAGACCTTAGAAGAATGCGCCTAGTTGACAAGGCAGCAAATGTCTGCTGCTATGATCACTTACTGTTATCTGTCATCACTGTCATTCAGCCACTCTGACCGTGGGTGGGTGAAAGCCCAAGGCTCCTGAGGACACTTGGGAAGAGATTCGGGGAGCCGGGATGGCATAGGGGTGGGAGCCTCAGCCCTGGAGTCTGGCAGGGCTTGACCAAGTCACTTGGTGACCTTGAGCGCATGACTTTCCCTACATGACTTCCCCTTCCTGGGCCTCCATATTCTCTGTAAAAATGGGAACATTCATGGCTGGGCGCGGTGGCTCATGCCTGTAATCCCAGCACTTTGGGAGGCTGAGATGGGCAGATCATGGTGCCCACGAGGTCAGGAGTTCGAGTCCAGCCTGGCCAATGTGATGGAACCCCATCTCTACTAAAAATGCAAAAATTAGCTGGGTGTGGTGGCGGGCACCTGTAATCCCAGCTCCTTGGGAAGCTGAGATAGGAAAATCACTTAAACCCAGGAGGCAGAGATTGCAGTGAGCTGAGATCATACCACTGCACTCCAGCCTGAGCGACAGAGCCAGACTCCATCTCAAAAAAATAAAATAAAAAAAAGTTATTAAAAAAATGGGAACATTTTCTGGCCAGAGTATTGTGGGGACTTGGGAGGTGGGAGGTTTGAGTTCTGGGCGCAGGGCCTGGAGGGGCTGTAGCAGGGGTTTCCTGCTTGCTGGGGCCAGGTCTGGTGCGGGAGATCGTGGCTGCCTCCTTGTGGAAGCCAGGGGAACTGCAGAGGCCGAGGGCTGGTGGGGAATCTGGTGGGCCGGGCTCTGGCTGGGGTGAGATGGAAGCCAACCCCAGATCCTGCCTCCCCAGACGCTGAGTCCTCGCGAGCTCTGGCACCTGGTACATCAGTGCTATGGCTCAGAGCTGGGCCTCACCAGTGAGGATGAGGACTATGTCTGCCCCTTGCAGCTGAACGGTTTGGGGTGAGTTGGAGGTCAAGGGAGGTTGAAGGATTCAGGGGAGAACTGGACGGCCAGCGTGCAGAGTTACTGGAGTGCTGTGGGGCCTGAGGTGGTGGTACGAAGTCTGGGGGATTCAGGAGGGTGTGTGGGGTCTCAAGGACACAGCAGTCCTGCTTCCTCCCCTTCCCCACAGGGCCCCCAAGGAAGTGGGAGATGTGATCGCCCTGAGCGACATCACCTCCTCGGGGGCAGCTGACCGAAGCCAGGAGCCAAGCCCAGTGGGTTCGCGCCGTGGCCGCGTCACGCCCAACCTTTCCCGAGCCAGCAGCGACGCAGACCATGGGGTGAGTGGTGGGGTGGAAGCGGGGTGGGATACTGATAGGAAGAGACAGGAGGGCTGGGGGGGGTGCAGTGGGAGAGGGACAGGGGAGGCCTGGATGGAGTGATGGGATGGGGAGGGGAAGACGGGCATGGAACAGATAGGAAAAGAGAGGCAGGGAAGAGAGGGGACAGACAGAAAGGACAGAGGGGTGGGAGATGGGTGGATAGATGAAGCAGCAGACAGACAAACAGGACAGGTAAGAAAGCTTATGGCCCGGGCATCTGAAACAAGCCTGGCAGGGGCTGAGAGGGGCCCTCATCTGGGTGGCCCCAGGCCACTCGCAGCTCAGCCACGAGCCCTCGGTGCACACACCACCCAGGGTCTGCACAGGCTCTGGAATCCTTGTGGCCAGTGTGGACTTGGGAGCCCTGGGGCTGGGATGGAGGTGGCCAAGGCTGCATCAGGCATTTCTCTGCAGGCAGAGGAGGACAAGGAGGAGCAGGTAGACAGCCAGCCAGATGCCTCCTCCAGCCAGACAGTGACCCCGGTGGCTGAACCCCCGAGCACAGAGCCCACCCAGCCTGACGGGCCCACCACCCTGGGCCCCTTGGATCTGCTGCCCAGCGAGGAGCTGTTGACAGACACGAGTAACTCCTCTTCGTCCACTGGGGAGGAAGGTGAGGCAGGCGGGCCCGATTCATTTGCCTCCCGTACTTGCAAGCCTCTCTTAGTCTTAAGCAAGAGGGGATGGATTAGCTGGCGGCACTGAGAATCCAGGGGCAGGCGGATGGCGTTCAGGCACTGTTGCTAGAAATCTCTGTCTTCACCCTGCTTTGAAGGCAGCATGGCAGGGTGAACATGAGCACAGACTGAAGGCAGCTTGCCAGGATTCAGATCCTGGTCACACCACTTCCTGACCATGTCACATGGGCAAATTGTGTAACTTCTCTGAGCTTTGCTTTCCTCCTCTGAAAACGGGGCTAACAATGATAATACTCACTTCATAGGGTTGTTGTTAAGAGACTATAAATGAGGCTGGGTGCGATGGCTCACACCTGTAATCCCAGCACTTTGGGAGGCCAAGGTGGGAAGGTTGCTTGAGGCCAGGAGTTGGAGAACAGCCTGGGCAGCAAAGCAAGACCCCATTCTGTACAAAAAAGAAAAAAACCGAAAAAGCTAGTTGTGGTGGTGCACACCTATAGTCTCAGCTACTTGGCAGACCAAGGCAAGAGGATCCCTTGAGGCCAAGAGTTTGAGACAAGCCTGGGCAACATAGTGAGACCCCTGTCTTTACAAAAAATTAAAAAATTAGCCAGGCATGGTGTCATGCACCCTGTGTAGTCTCAGCTACTGGGGAGGCTGAGGCAGGAGGATCGCTGGAGCCCAGGAGTTGGAGGCTGCAGTGAGCTATGATTGCACCACTGTACTCCAGCCTGGGCGATAGAGTGAGACCCTGTCTCTAAAACAAACAAAGGGGGAGAGAATTAAGTGATTTCATACATCTAAAGCACTTGTGCCAGTTAGTAAGTGTTGACTATTAGTATTTCTATTATCATTATTATATTCATTTTCTCTCTCCACTAAGTCTCAGGTAGCCTCTACTCTTGTGTCTTATGGGGCAGAGATGGCCTCAGCCCTGCCCCAGTCCAGCCCAGTGAGAGAGAGCAGCCTATTTCTCCCAGTGTCTACAGCGAACACCCTAGGGTTGGCTCTGATTGGGCCAACTTGAGAGCATGCCTGCCCCTGAACCAATCACTGTGGTTGATCAGCTAGACCTGGGCCACCGACTCACCCCTGAACCAATTGCTGTGCTCCTAGGCTGATGCTCCCAGGAGTGCGTGCTATCCCGTAATGAATCCCTGTGAGTTAAGTCTCAGGGCCTAGGTGTGTTCTCCACCCAGAACCAAGCACAGTGGCTCTGACTGTCTGGACCTGGAGCACATGCCAACCCTCAGCCCATCCCTGAGTCACAGGAGGGCTCTGGGTCAGTGTCCTGCTCTGCTCCAGGAGGTTGGGTCTGCCCATGCGCCCTACAAGGCCTGGGAGTGGGGAGGCGTGGCCCGCGGAGGGAGGGAAGAGTGGAGGCAGTCGTCATCCCCAGCTCTCCTCTGTCTCTAGCGGACCTGGCTGCCCTGCTTCCCGACCTCTCCGGCCGCCTCCTCATCAACTCCGTCTTCCATGTGGGCGCTGAGCGGCTCCAGCAGATGCTCTTCTCGGACTCGCCCTTCCTCCAGGGCTTCCTACAGCAGTGCAAGTTCACAGGTCAGTGGGTGCATGAAGGAGAGGCCGAGGTTACCCAGGTGCAGGGGAGGGGTGAGAAAGGGTAGCCCAGGACAGGGGAAGCCAGTGCGGCTGGGTGGGGTGCTGAAAAGCAACGTTTCTGAGACCAGAAGCAGTTCTGCCTCTTACTAGCTGGGTAGGCTTGGGAGGGGTTCTGAGACTCTGTGCCTCAGTTTCTCCTTCTGAATAATGGGGGTATGATAATAGTACCTGGCTTATTGATTATCATGAGATCTAAGTGAGTTCATACTAGAAAAGTGCCTGGAGTAATACCATATAGTAAGCGTTTAATAAATACAAGTTAAGAGGCTGAGGCAGGGCTGGGCGCGGTGGCTCACACCTGTAATCCCAGCACTTTGGGAGGCTGAGGCAGGTGGATCACCTGAAGTCAGGAGTTCGAGACCAGCCTGGCCAACATGGCGAAACCCCGTCTCTACTAAAAATACAAAAAAATTAGCTGGGCATAGTGGCGGGCACCTGTAATCCCAGCTACTCAGGAGGCTGAGGCAGGAGAATCGCTTGAACCTGGGAGGCAGAGGTTGCAGTGAGCTGAGATCGTGCTGTTGCACTCCAGCCTGGGGGACAGAGCGAGACTCTGTCTCAAAAAGAAAAAAAAAAGAAAAGCAGGAGTGGGGCCAAGGCGGGAAGGTCATGTCAGCTCAGAAGCTGGAGACCAGCCTGGGTGACATAATGGGACTAAGTATTTACAAAAATAAAAAAAAAATTAGCTGAGCATGGTGCTGCACACCTGTAATCCCAGCTACTTTGGAGGCTCAGGCAGGACAATTGCTTGAACCCAGGAGGTGGAAGTTGCAGTGAGCTGAGATCATGCCACTGCACTCCAGAGGCCTCCCCGAAGCCAAGCAGATGCCGGCATCACGCTTCCTGTACAGCCTGTGGAACTGTGAACCCATTAACCTCTTTTCTTTTTTTTTTTTTTTTGAGATAGAGTCTCGCTCTGTCGCCCAGGCTGGAGTGCAGTGGCCAGATCTCAGCTCACTGCAAGCTCCGCCTCCCAGGTTCACGCCATTCTCCTGCCTCAGCCTCCCGAGTAGCTGGGACTACAGGCGCCCGCCACCTTGCCCGGCTAGTTTTTTGTATTTTTTAGTAGAGACAGGGTTTCACTGTGTTAGCCAGGATGGTCTCGATCTCCTGACCTCGTGATCCACCCGTCTCGGCCTCCCAAAGTGCTGGGATTGCAGGCTTGAGCCACCGAGCCTCAGGTATATATAGTAATGTAAAAACAGCCTAATACAGAGCTCCTCAGCCTGACATGCCAGCCCCTTTAGGACATAAGCATAGTTTTGGGGGACTTGTAGCCCCGCAACACGAGGCACAGTCGTCCTGACTCGGCAAGAGATACTACATGTCTCATCAATACAGAAAAAGAAACAAAGAGAAACTCCCATCTTACGTGCTCCTCCCCTGCTTGAATCTTTTTGGTAGCCTCCTAGGTTCCTTGACTGGTCCCATGTCAACCCTTCCAGCCTCACCCAGTGCTGTGGCTGCCCCTTTCCATACCTGGCTGCTCCGTCCTAGCCTCAGGGGACTTCTCCCAATGTCGGCCTCCAGCCTCAGGGCCTTTACTGATACCACACCGTTCTCCGGGGCTCCTCCGCCCCCACCCCCTTCCTTCCTCAGTTCCTTCTTCAGGCCTTGGTTTTGATTTCACATCCTCCTGGCAGCCTTCCCTGACCTTCCTCAGATCCCATATACCCCCAGATACTCAGCCTCTGCCCTTAACTCACACCACGCCGGTAGTGTGTGGTCTTTATTTTTAGATGTTTCCTGTTGTTCTCAAAAGATTCTGGGTGCTAAGGACAGGAGTTCATCTATCCTGGTCTCCCACTGGCCTCCAAGCTCTGCATAGGCCTGACAGAGTGGACATTAAGTGTGTGATCATTAACATGTATTTATGTATTTATTTTTGAGTCGGGGTCTTGCTGTCACCCCAGCTGGAATGCAGTGGCACAATCTTGGGTCACTGTAGCCTCTGCCTCCGGGGTTCAAGTGATTCTCCTGCCTCAGCCTCCTGAGTAGCTGGGATTATAGGCGCCCACCACCACGCCCGGCTAATTTTTGTATTTTTAGTAGAGACGGGGTTTCACCATGTTGGCCAGGCTGGTTTCGAACTCTTGACCTCAAGTGATCCTCCTGCCTCGGCCTCCCAAATTTCCCAAAGTGCTGGGATTACAGGCATGAGCCACCATACCCAGCTGTCTCAGGGAGCTTTTGATCATGGTGGAAGGCAAAGGGGGAGCAAGTGAGAGAGAGTGGAGGGGTGGTGCCACACACTTAAATGACCAGATCTCGGAAGAACTCACTATCATGAAGACAGCAGCAAACCATGAGGGATCCACCCTCATGATCCAAACACCTCTCACCAGGCCCCACCTCCAGCACGGGGGATTACAATTCAGCATGAGATTTGGGTGGCGACAAATAGCCAAACTGTACCAAACTCAGACTCTGTTCTAGGGATACTGGGGAGCCATGGAGTGTTCTAGGCAGAGAAGGGATAGAGTCAGGCTTGGCTTTAACAAGATGCCCCTGGACCAGATGAGGAGACTGAGGCCAGACACTCAAGGGAAGGCTGGGAGGGGCACTGGGCAGGCAAAGATGGGCTGACCCAGGAGTGACGCTTGGGAGGTTTGGTGAACACACAGTGTAGGTAACAAACTAGGGGTCTGACTAGGGGGTGTCCACGGCAAGGCCTGGTGCTCCAGTGGGAGCCTGGAGGACCCTGGACCACCCCCGAGTGGGGGCCTGAGAGATGCAGCAGGTTTGGGGAGATGCTGAGGCCGTGTGGAGCTCAGTGGGTTCGAGGGGTCCAAGGACCTTCCAGGAGAAGGTGTTCAAAAGATTGCAGGTCCAACGCTCAGGGCAGAAGCCAGGATGGGTGCAGAGGGGGAAACTGAGGCTGCAGCAGTGGATGGGATGGCCCTACCCCAACAGCTAAGGTTTTAGGCTCCTGGAAGGAAGGTGGGGACACAGAGGAGGGGTGTGGATTGGGACAAGTCCTCAGAGAGAGACCTCCCAGAAGGCTGAGTCTCCTGCGGCCTGTGGGCAAAGGACTGGGGTGTGGCCTCCTCATGCTGCTCCTCCCTCCCCTAGACGTGACCCTGAGCCCCTGGAGCGGGGACAGCAAGTGCCACCAGCGCCGGGTGCTGACGTACACCATCCCCATCAGCAACCCACTGGGCCCCAAGAGCGCCTCTGTGGTGGAGACACAGGTGGGCCAGGCGGGGCAGCCGGGTAGGTGGGGCAGCTGGGTGGGTGGGGTGGCCCTGACTGCGCCAGCTCTGTCCCTGCAGACGCTGTTCCGGCGCGGCCCCCAGGCCGGCGGGTGTGTGGTGGACTCCGAGGTGCTGACGCAGGGCATCCCCTACCAGGACTACTTCTACACTGCCCACCGCTATTGCATCCTGGGTGTGGCTCGGAACAAGGCGCGGCTCCGGTGCGTGGTGACTGGGCCCCTCCACCCGTTGCCCTGGTGGCCCCAGGGCCTCCTGTCCACTTCTCAAGTCAACAGCAGAGCGTTGGTTCCCACCCTGGTGGAGGAAGAGAAGCGTGGGGTTCCTGAGGACCCTGCGCTCCGAATAGTGGAGGGTAGAGAAAGAGTGGCCCAGGGATGGCTCCTCCCATCTGCAGAGGGTGTTTGAGCCTCAAGACTCTGAGGATACAGCAAAGCCAGGCAGTATCACTTCTCTCAGGGAGCTCATAGTCTAGTAGGGAATTGGACAATAGAGAAATAATTAGGAAAATCTGCAGAGCATTCACTGGCAGTTAGGCCTATGGAGAAAAACAAGGAAAACACAGCAGGCTGAAGAAGCAGGGCATGGAGGCTTTTACACCCGATACGCTGGTCAGGGAAGGGCCCGCTGGGAAAGAAATTTTTCACCAAGAACTTGAAGGAGCTGAGAGCAACTCATTTGGGACAGCAGGTGCAAAGGCCCTGAGGCAGGGGTGGGGGCAGTGACTGGAGTGGAGTAAGATTGGGTGAGAAGGAGCTGAGATTAAAGCGGTGAACCAGGGCCCAGCGCAGTGGCTCACACCTGTAATCCCAGGACTTTGGGAGGCCGAGGCAGGTGGATCACTTGAGGTCAGGAGTTTTAGACCAGCCTGGCCAACATGGTGAAACCCCATCTCTACTAAAAATACAAAATTAGTCCGGGGTGGTGGCGCATGTCTGTAATCTCTACTATTTGGGAGGCTGAGGCACAAGAATCATTTGAACCTAGGAGGCGGAGGTTGCAGTGAGCCGAGATCGGGCCACTGCACTTCAGCCTGGGTGACAGAGTGAAACTCTGTCTCAAACAAACAAACAAAAAAACAAATAAAAAGATTGGCCAGACATGGTGGAGATTTCAGTGAGCCGTGATCATGCCGTTGCACTTCAGCCTGGGCGACAGAGCAAGACCCTGTCTCAAAAAAAAAAAAAAAAGGTGAACCAGATGTGGCTCGTGGTGAAGACTTTACTTTTACCTGGAGGGAAGGGCAACCAGGCCAGGGCTCTGAGCCAGGAGGGGCTGACCTGACTCAGGTGGTCCCAGGCTCCTTCTGGCTGCCTCTGTTCTGCTGGGAATAGACTGCAAGGACAGGGACAGGAGCAGGGAGGAGGAGGCTGCTGGCGTCACCCAGGCTGGAGGGGACGGAGGCTGAATCAGGGTGGGGAAATGGAGGGGGAAGAGTTAGATTCCGGAGAGATTTTGTAGGTTTAGCTGACAGGATTTGCAGAGAGATTGGATGTGGGAGTGAGGGAAAGAGAGCTCAAGGAATACCCCGAGGCGTTTGGCCCGAGCCACTACAACCACAGAGCTGCCGTTGACCCAGATGGGGATGGCAGGGAGGAATGGGTTTGGGGAACGACCAGGAGGTCAATGTGGGACTGAGCTGTCTGTGTGGAGCTGAGCCCGTGTGGAGTTGGGGTGCAGCAGCTGGATGGAAGAGGTTCAGGGGCAAGGTCTGGCTAAGACGTCGGTCAGTGGGTGGACAGGGCTCAGGCCACCAGGAGCCTTGCCCAGGTACTGGGCATGGGTGGAGAAGGACCGAAGGCTGAGTTGGCTGGCATTCGGGCTGAGCGGGGTGGTGTATGGGGTATCCAGGGAAGCCACGGAGGGTAGGGAACCCATCTGTTTTGTCTGTGAGTGACAAGGGGCCCTCTCTGAATTAGGGGAAGGAAAGAACTCAACTTGGGGGATGGAACTGCCAGGGCTGGAGTCAGACCCTGACCTCCTTCCCCTGATCTCCCAACCCCAGAGTGTCCTCTGAGATCCGCTACCGAAAGCAGCCATGGAGCCTGGTGAAGTCGCTCATTGAGAAGAACTCGTGGAGCGGCATTGAAGACTATTTCCACCATCTGGGTAGGGACAGAAGGCTGGCCGGGGCACGGGTTGGGGGGTGGCCTGGCCAGGGATGGGCATCCAGAGCCCCCTCTCTTCTACGCAGAGCGAGAGCTCACCAAGGCCGAGAAGCTGTCTCTGGAGGAAGGCGGGAAGGATGCCCGGAGCTTGCTATCCGGCCTGCGGCGGCGGAAGCGGCCCCTGAGCTGGCGGGCTCACGGGGACGGGCCCCAGCACCCAGATCCTGACCCCTGTGCCCGGGCTGGCATGCACACCTCGGGTGCGTTCCGTTGGGGCCGGGTCGGGGTGGGTGGAGGACTGGGGGCCTGGACCAGGCCCTCTGACTCCAAGTTGCTCTCCTGCAGGCTCCCTCAGCTCCCGCTTCTCCGAACCGTCTGTGGACCAGGGCCCCGGGGCAGGCATCCCCAATGCCCTGGTTCTCATCAGCATCGTGTGAGTAAGAGACAGGAGCAGTGGCCACACAGGCCTGAACCTGCCTCCTGGCTGTGTGACCTTGGGCAAGTGCATGGCCTCTCTGGGCTCTCTGCTTAAGTGGGAGCGTGGATTTGCTCACAGCAAGGATTAGATGAGGCAATGTTTGGGATGTGTCGGTTTGTCATGGAGAAGCCTTCCCTGCTAGAAGAGCAGAGCCCGGGGGAGCTATGGGAGATCAGAGGGGCCTGACCTCACCCAAGGATCAAGGGGGGCTCTCTGGAGGAGCAGGCACACAAAGATTCTGGAATTAGGTGCACAGGGAGAGGTGTGCCTAACCAGTGAGGTCATTTATGCACGTTGCATTCTCTGTGCCCACCCCTAAGCTGGGCGATGCTGAGGACACAGCAGTGACCTTGAGGAAAAGATAGACCTGACACCAGACCAGAGTGGTCTGGGCCGGGATGGAGGATGCATGGGCAGAGGGATCAGGGCCAGGAGTGGGAAAGCCCTGGGAGGCCAGCAGCAGCTTCCTCCCAGGCCACAGCAGGCAGTCAGGATGGGTGTCCTGAGAGAGTGGAGACCGTCTAGGCTGAGAAGGGCTTGGGCAGGGAGAATCCACACACCTGCCCAGAAGCCTGCAGGAGTTGGCAGGCAGGATGCTGGGAGGAAACAGAAGCTGGATCCTGGGGTTGAGCAGACCTTGGGAGGTGAGGGTCAGCCCGGCTACGTGCTCAGCCTCTGAACCTCAGCTCTCAGCTCTCATCCAGTGAGGGGGTATGGTGCGCTCGGCCCAGAGCTGCCCAGGGCGAGGAGGGCTGGGGGTATCGGGGGCAGGCCGGGCGGTGCTCATCTCTCTGTCTCCCCTCACTGCTGCTGCTGCAGGATCTGTGTGAGGTAGGGTCCTGAGTCCTCCCCCTGCCCTCCCCTCCCTGCACCTCCCCTCCCTGCAACCCCTGTTGCAGCCTCTTCTCCCCACCCCACGCCCCCCGGCTCCCCCAGGGAGGCGACCTGGCATGGCAATCAAGGGTATGGGCATCAGACAGGCCTGGATTTGAACCCTGACCTTCCTGCTATGGACTGTGCAACCCTGGCATGTCTCACCCTCTCTGAGCCTCATTCTCCTCCTCTGCAATGGGGAATAGAGGTGTCCCTACAAGGTGTAGCTATATGGGGAGGTTCAGAGCATCAGACCCCAGGAATCCTGACCTCTGACCCCTGTCCCCAGCCTTATCATCCTCATCGCCCTCAACGTCCTGCTTTTCTACCGCCTCTGGTCCTTGGAAAGGACAGCCCACACCTTTGAGTCCTGGCACAGCCTGGCCCTGGCCAAGGGGTGAGTGGGTAGCCTGGGGAAATGGGGGGGCTTGGGCACACTGCGGGAGGCCAAGGCCCTGCTCAGGCCCGGCATCCCCACAGCAAGTTCCCCCAGACGGCCACAGAGTGGGCCGAGATCCTGGCGCTACAGAAGCAATTCCACAGCGTGGAGGTGCACAAGTGGAGGCAGATCCTGCGGGCCTCCGTGGAGCTCCTGGATGAGGTAGGAGGCGCCACTCGGGCAGGGCCCGGGGCTACAGAGCTGTAGGGTCCTGTGTTGAAACCCCACCATGCGGCAGGCACCTCCCTTCTCCGGGTCTCAGTGTCCTCCTCTGTAAAATAAGGAAGCCACTCAGAGTCCCCACCCCACAGCATTGCAGGGGAAAGCACGGAAGTGTGAATGGAAGAAAGAATTGATTGGCTCACATCCTGGAGAAAAGTCCAGAGGCATCTCACGTTAGGCACGGCTGGGTTTGGTCACTCAATGGCAGTAAGAGTCAGTCTCGTGCTCATTCTGCCCTGTGCCCATCTCCAGGGTTGGCTTCATTGGAGGCCACACTTTTCCCCCCACTGGGGACCCCGGCGCTTACTCTCATTGCCTGCTGGGGTCTCAGGCCCACCCCTGACCCATCACAGCAGCCAGGGCAGGCCAGGTGTGGTCCCTCTACCCCCTACCCCCCTCTGGGGTAGCTAAGGGGTCACATGGTCTGAAGGGGAGAGACTCTTCAAAGGACCTGAGGTCTCATCTCCAAAACGGAGTGGATCCAGACACCCAGACACCCAGTGTAGTTCAGGGACAATGTCTACTCAGACAACCAGGTTCCAATTCCGGTGTGTGACCTCTTGCAAGCGATTTTGCCATGGTGGCCGTGGCCACCTCTGTGCACAGGATAATGGCTGATGCTACTTCAAAGACTGTTGTGAGGACGAGACAAGTTGACACTGGGAGTGGTGCCAGGCCCACAGGAAACACTGGATGTGGGCTGGGTGTCCTGAGTGTGAGCCTAGTGCCAGGGACAAAGCAGATGCCCAATAAATGTGATGTCATCACACAGCAATGCCCTCAGGCCCCAGTAGACTCAGGCCAGCAGTTGCGGTGGGTCAGAGCAAGTGTTGGGCACTGGGGAAGGTGTCGAAATGGGAAGGCGGTTGGGAAACAGAGAGTCTGGCATTGCCTGCATTTCCAAGGCCATCAGAGCTGAAGCTGTGGGTGACGGTGAGAACCTTGTTTCATCAGACCCTTCTATATCAGAAGGCTCATCTTTAGGGGTCTCATTCCCCCCCTGAAATCAAGCTTGGGAGAGGCTCACACTGGGAAGGGTGGGGCAGGACGGGGTTGGGAAAGGATGAAGGCTGAGGCCCCATCACTCAGAGAGGGTGGGCAGGGCCCCCCATCCTGCGTTATTTTATTCTTTTGAGACAGGGTCTCATTCTGTTGCCCAAGCTGGAGTGCAGTGGCACGATCATGGCTTATCGCTGCCTCGAACTCCTGGCTCAAGTGATCCTCCTGCCTCAGTCTCCTGAGTAGCTGGGACTATAGGCACGCACCACCATGCCTGGCCAATTTAAAAATTTTTTGTAGAGACCAGAGTCTCACCATGTTGCCCAGGCTGGTCTCAAACTCCTGGCCTCAGGCAATCCTCCCGCCTCGGCCTCCCAAAGTCCTGGGATTGCAGGTGTGATCCACCACACCTGGCCCTGAGTTAAATTTTTATCATTTTCCTCCCTCTCAAACTGCCAAGGGTGCAGAGTTGATGTCACAGATTGGTACTCACAGTAGATGCAGACTGAGCACTTACCTGTGGCTGGGCTATTCCAATTTTTTTTTTTTTTTTTTTTTTTTAGACTGGGTCTCTCTCTCTGTTGCCCAGGCTGGAGTGCAGTGGCATGATCTCGGCTCACTGCAAGCTCCGCCTCCCAGGTTCATGCCATTCTCCTGCCTCAGCCTCCCAAGTAGTTGGGACTACAGGCGCCCGCCACCACACCCAGCTAATTTTTTGTATTTTTTAGTAGAGACGGGGTTTCACCGTGTTAGCCAGGATGGTCTCGATCTCCTGACCTCATGATCTGCTTGCCTCGGCCTCCCAAAGTGCTGGGATTACAGATGTGAGCCACCATGCCCGGCCTGTTCTAAGTTTTAAGCATGACTGCCTTATCCCCACAGCCAGCCTTTGAGGAAGATGCTGTTGTTATCCCAGTTTTTTTGAGACAGTCTCAATCTGTCACCCAGGCTGGCGTGCAGTGGCGTGATCTTGCCTCACTGTAACCTCTGCCTCCCAGGTTAAAGCGATTCTCGTGCCTCAGCCTCCCAAGTAGCTGGGATTACAGGCACCCGCCACCACGCCTGGCTAATTTTTGTATTTTTAGTAGAGATAGGGTTTCACCATGTTGGCCAGGCTGGTCTTGAACTCCTGACCTTAAGTGATCCACTGGTCTCGGCCTCCCAAAGTGCTGGGATTATAGGCATGAGCCACTGCACCTGGCCGTTATCCCGGTTTTATACATAGGTAGGCGATGTGAGGCATCCAGAGGTTTGAGGAGCTCAGGAGCTTGCCCGAGGTCACAGAGGGGGTAATGGTGACAGCTAACATGTGCTCAGCACTTAGTGTACACCGGGTTCTCAGTGCTCTTCAGAACCCTGAAATAGGCCAGGTGCGGTGGCTCAAACCTGTAATCCCAGCACTTTGGGAGGCCGAGGCGGTGGATCACGAGGTCAGGAGATCGAGACTATCCTGGCTAACACGGTGAAACCCGTCTCACTAAAATACAAAAACTAGCCAGGCGTGGCGGCGCCTGTATCTCAGCTACTCGGAAGGCTGAGCGGGAGAATGGCATGAACCCGGAGGCGGAGCTTGCAGTGAGCCGAGATCAGGCCACTGCACTCCAGCCTGGGAGACACAGCGAGACTCCGTCTCAAAAAAAAAAAAAAGAACCCTGAAATAATCCTATGGAGCAGATGTGTTACAGACCCATATTTCAAATGAGGGGATTTTGACTCAAGGTGGTTACAGGACGTGCCTGAGGTTAACTGAGGTAACGAGATCAGAGCCAGGATTTGAACCCAGGCCATCGGGGTGCCAGGCACACACTAAGCCCCTTCCTCTGCTGCCTCTGAGAATTTAAACTGGGTGCAGCGTGGCTGTGCTCTTTTCACTGAGGGACCCTGGGGTGGGGCAGTATGGCCTCTAGACCATCCTCAGTTTCTCAGTGGCAGGATGGGGGTGGGCGACATCACCCCCCAACCTCCAGCGTTCACCCCCAACCCTGCTCACCTCCTCCCCGCAGATGAAGTTCTCGCTGGAGAAGCTGCACCAAGGCATCACAGTCTCAGATCCTCCCTTCGACACCCAGCCCCGGCCCGAAGACAGCTTTTCCTGAGGTCCCCAGCCACGCAGCTGTTCCCCCACATGGACAGATGGACACACAGAGCCTCGGCGGCCACTGCTGGCACGGTGTGAGCGCCAGGCATCTCCCACCCGCCCCTCCGGACGGCCCGACCTGGGGCTGTGCAGACGTGGGGGCCATGGAACCGAGATGCACTTTAGACCAGGGAGCTGGCCCGGCCTCTGGCAGGCCCCCCACTAACTTATTTTGCCCGGCTGAGGTTGTGGGGGGCGCCTCCTGGGGTGCACGGTTCCCTCAGCTCTGGGTTTAATGTATTATATTTATTTGGGGCTGATGGTGCCCCAATAAAGGGTCAGAAGTGGCTGTGGCTGTGCCTGTGGGGCCCTGGGAGTGGGTGGGAGCCTCCTGTTACACTCAGATCCTGCCGTGGTGGGGAGGGGACCTCTGTCTGTGTTCTGGGGCCATAGTCACTGAAACGATCTGGAATTCCCCCAGCATCTTACACAAGCTTTACATCATCTGAGGTCAACGCAGGAAGTCCGGGGACAGACTCTGGGAGCCAGAGTTCAAATCCTGCTTCCTAGCAGTGGCGTAACTGCAGCAAGTCAACCCCTGGAGCTCCAGTGCCCTTTCCTGTGCAATGGGCAGAATGACAGTACCTGTCTCTCAGGGCTGTTAGAAGGGAGTGGTTCTCAAACTTGAGCTGCGTTCGAATCTCCTGGAGGGCTTGATGAAAAACAGACTGTGGGGCCCCTCCCTCCAAATTTCTGGTTCAGTAGGTCTGGGGCAGGGCTGGGATTCTGCCTTTATAATGAGTTCCCAGGGGATGCTCATGGTGCCATCCCAGACCACACTTTGTTTTTTTGTTTGTTTAAGTTAGGGTTTCTCTGTCGCCCAGGCTGGAGTGCAGTGGCATAAACATGGCTCACAGCAACCTCGACTTCTGTGCTCAAGCCATCCTCTCACCTCAGCCTTCTGAGTAGCTGGAACTACAGGTGTAAGCCACCATGGCCGGCTAATTTTTTATTTCTTTTTGGAGATGGGATCTGACTATGTTGCTCAGGCTAGTCTCGAACTCCTGGCCTCAAGTGATCCCTCCTGCCTCAGCTTCCCAAAGTGTTGGGATTACAGGCGTGAGCCGTCATGCCCAGCCCCAGACCACACTTTGAGAACTGCTGTTACAGGTTCAAGGAGTTCATAAATGTGGCTACTTATAACAGGGCCTGGCACAGATGGAATGGAGTAAGTATTCAATAAATGTTACACTTATTGCATAAAAATAGAGGGAAAAAAGTAACTCGTGTAGTGAGTACCAAGTACGTACGTACTGAGCTCTGTGCCAAGATCTGATGTTCATTTTATTCTCACAGTGACTCCATGAGGTGGAGACAAAGATGTACACGCCTGAGGCTACCCAGCAGGGAGGCAGACTCCAGGCCTGACCCCTGGGGTCTCCACATTTAGATGCAAAGTCCTAACCCCCTCAGGACCCCACCACAGCCCATTCAGGCTGATGGTTTGTTGGATCCCTGTTTTACAGATGAGGAAATGAGCTTGGAGGCAAAGTCCCTGGTCCAGATAGAACGCAGGTCCACCTCACTGAAACCTTGTCCTGGTTCCAGAGTGAGTGGATGGGGTAAAGAGACACCTTTGGCATGTCACACCTCTGGCTATAAGAATCATCCTAACTGATGGCTTGGGGCAGGGGACTGGAGGAGGGATTGGAGAGTGGATCAGGAGTGGCATAGGAGGCAGAGCCAGCCCCTCTTACCCTCTAGCTGTGTGATCATGGCAAGGTACCCATGCTGAGCCTCAGTCTTCTGTATCTGTAACATGGGTATAATAATACCACCTATAGGAAGAATTAAATGAGCTAATGTTAGTAAAGTGCTTAGAATGCTTAGAACAGCACCAAGCCCATACATAGTAGGTGCTCACTGAACATAGCTTATAGGGCTGTGAGGTGCCTCCTGTCCAGTGCTGAGGCCTGTCCTCACTGTGCCTTCACCTACCATCCCCCACCAGTGGAAGGGCCCGGAACAGCAAGATGGTTATTCTCTGCAGGGGAATTTCACAGCTCAGGAGGCGCTGGCATAAAAGTCTAGACCACAGAGGTGTCGGATGTCCCTGGCTCCCTGCCCCTCTGCCATGGTCCTGCCCAACACCCTAGCTCCTCTTGTCTGGCAGGGCTGGGCCAGGGGGATTCTGAGACCTTACCCCACCCAGAATTGGAGGCTAGGACCTAGGTAGTGACCCTTCAGCTGAGAGTCTCACTCCCACCCTGGTCCTGACAGACCAGAACTCCCACCTCCATTTTCTCCATTTGGCAGAACCTACTGGTAGGACAGGCCACTTACCACTGCTGGGGCAGGATTCCACATCCATCCTAGGCCAGCTACATGACTATGGGCAAGGGAGTGGCCCTCCCATCCTTAGTTTCTTCATCTGTGAAATGGGGATAATAGAACTCACTGAAGATTTGGGGCAGTAGAAGTGGGTTCAGCAAATCCCAAGGGCTTAGTGAACATTGACTTTCATTTATTTGTTTGACAAATATTGATTGAGTACCTGCAATGTGCCAGGAACAGTTCAAGGTGCAAGAGACATGGTGGTACACAAGACAGTGTCCTCACCTGGGGGATTTTTTAAAATTTATTTTTATTTTTTATTTTTTAGACAGTCTCATTCTGTCGCCAGGCTGGAGGGCAGTGGCGTGATCTCGGCTCACTGCAACCTCCACCTCCTGGGTTCAAGCGATTCTCCTGCCTCAGCTTCCCGAGTAGCTGGGATTACAGGCACACGCCACCATGCCCAGCTAATTTTTGTATTTTTAGTAGAGATGGGGTTTCACCATGTTGGCCAGGATGGTCTCGATCTCTTGACCTCATGATCCGCCCACCTCAGCCTCCCAGCATGCTGTCATTACACGCCTGAGCTACGGCGCCTGGCCTTTTTTTTTTTTTTTTTTTTTTTTTTGAGAGGGAGTTTCGCTCTTGTTGTCCAGGGTTTACAGGTGCCCACCACCACTCCCGGCTAATTTTTTGGTATTTTTAGTAGAGATGGGGTTTCACCATATTGGTCAGGCTGGTCCCGAACTCCTGCTCTCAGGTGATCTTCCCCGTCCCCCGCCCTTGGCCTCCCAAAGTGCTGGGAAGGCGACGGGTGGCTCATACCTGTAATCCCAGCATTTGGGAGGCTGATGCGGACGGATCATCCGAGGGCAGGCGTTCCAGACGAGCCTGACCAACATGGTGAAACCCTGTCTCTACTAAAAAATTAAAAAAGTAGCCAGGCATGATGGTTCGCGCCTGTACTCCCAGCTGCTCCGGAGGTTGTGGCAGGAGAATCTCTTGAACCCGGGAGGCAGAGGTTGCAGTGAGCCGAGATCACGCCACTGTACTTCATCCTGGGCAACAGAGCCAGACCCTGTCTAAGAAAAAAAACAAAAACAAAATGTCAGGTAGTGAGGCTGCTATGAAAAACATTCAACAAGAGTAAAGGAGGTCAAGTTAGGAGCCGGGGAGGCAGTTTGCCCTGAAGCGACACAAGACCTAACGAAGGTGACATTGGAGCCATGGAGGCGGAGGGAGAGTGGCGGGGCAGCAGGGAGAGCAGGGGTAGAGGGGAGGGCAGGGGCCAAGGTCCCGAGGCAGGAATGGGTTCCCTGTGTTGGGAACAGCAGGAGGGCCTGAACAGCCAGAGTGGAGTGGGAGGAAAGAGGGGTAGAAGGTGACATCAGGGACATAAAGGGGTGCAGGGGATTGTAGGGGTCATCCTCCTGAAACAGCACCTCCAGATCCCCGGGGCTGCTTCTGCCCAGGGTGCCCCGCCTGCTTGGGTGAGGTCTGGATTGTAGCTGTAGTCTTAGCTTGACGGCCCCCACCTTCCTCTAATGCCTATTTGGGGGTCCCTGCACAGTGACCCCCAGGCCTGGATATCAGGGCTCTGAGGGGAGATCACTCGGAGGTTCGCTTCCTTGAACTCCTAAGGATGACCTCCATGATTTGAAATCGGAAACCCGGCCCCCAAACTGCGCTCCAAGTCCTCTTGTGACTCTGGGGGTGACCTTTCCAGACTCCCTGGGAAGGTGGCGGGGTGGTCCTCAGAGCCCCAGCGGAGTCGGAGACACCCGGACCATCCGCCGCGTTCCCAGAAGCCGCTGTCCCTGCGCCACCCGGAGAGGCCCGTGCAGCGGCCGCTTCCCGGGCCGCTGCGGCAAAGGCTGGGCGACCGCGCCCTCCCCCCGCGGTGATTCATCCCGCCCCCTCCCTCTCCTCCCTCCTCCCTCCCTAGGCCGCCGCCGCCGTCGCTGCAGTGCGCAGGAGACGGCGGTCCGCGCCCGAGCGCGCCCGAGCCGAAGCGGGACCTGGGTCGGTGCACCTAGCGGATGTGCCCGGCTGTGCGCGCCAGCGCAGCAGCCCGAGCAGCGGCCGCCGCCCGCGCGGCGGGGATGCCCGGACGCCGGGCCCCGGGGCTGGGCCCCCGGCGGTAACCGGAGCGGGGGGGCCGCGCCCCCCCTCTTCCCCCCTCGCCGGTCCCAGAGCCGCAGCTGCTGCGCCCGCGCGCTCCCGGGGACATTCTAACCGCCGCCGGGTCCCGCCGCCTCTCGCCCCGCTATTAATACCGGCGGCCCGGGAGGGGGGCGCAGCACGCGCCGCGCAGCCATGGGGAGGCTGCTGGCCTTAGTGGTCGGCGCGGCACTGGGTGAGTGCACAGGGGGCGCGCGCGGCCGGGGGCACCGCGGGGTCGCTTGGTGGGGCGGCGGGAGTGGCGCTCGGGACTCGGAGCAGCCGCGCGAGGGCCGCCCCCGGCCCAACCCCGGGCCCCGCCAAGTCAGCTTCAGTTGTGCGCGCGGGAGCCGGGCTTGGGGAGGGCGGTGGAGGTGCGGGTGGGCTCCAGCGGGCGGGGGCCGGGCTGGCACAGCCTCGCGGCTGCAGGCGCCCAGCCGGGGGCGAGAAAACGCGGAGTCAGCTGCTCCCGTAGCCCCGCAGGCTGCAATGTGACACCCACAGCCGCGGGAGGGGGGTGGGGGGAAGGCGGCGCCCGGAGACTGGGACAGGAAAGACGGAGGGACAGGGAGAGATGGAGACGGGAGGAAGGGGGCGAGAGACAGAGAAGGACTCAGAGCGCACCTGAGTGGTCCGCTGGGAGGCTGGGGACGTGGGGGTCAAGGGGGAGACGGAGACGGAGACAGAGAGAGGGGTATTGGAGACAGAGAGAAAGAAAGAAAGAGAGTTAAGAGACTGAGCGCGATAGAGAAAGGGAAACTTGAGAGAGGCAGAAGGAGATGGAGAGAAGAGAGAGGGAGATGGGGGTGCCCGTGAACACCGGGAGAGAATCTGGCATGGAGTTTTAAAAGGGATAGACGTGGAAAGGTGGAAAGGGATTAGGAGAGGTCTCCTTCTGAGCCCAGAGAGTGGACACAAAGTGGAGGGACCTTCAGAGAGACCCCTGAGAGGGACAAAGATGGGAGGGACTGAGACAGAGGCCCTCAGGGAGTCTGAAAGGGACCGCAGCAGGGGCGGATGGATGAGAAGTCCTGAGGATCAGGAGACAAGGACAGCACAGGGCTGCAGCAGAAGAGACACCGCGTTAGCTACAGAGTGCTGGGAGGCAGGAAGGAGGTGCCAGGTAAGAGAGTGAAGGAATTCTAAGACTGGAATTCCATGGGGTGCAAAGGCCCTGGGGCAGGAGAGAGCTCAGGAAAGCTTTGAGTAGTGGATGGGGTTGGGGTGGGAAGAGCTCTAGAGGCGAGGACCCTGGGGAAGAGGGGATGATGGAAGCAGGAGAGGCTGGGGAGGGGATGGCTCACACAGGGGCTTGTGGGGCTGGGAAGAGGGGCTGAGTGTGGATCAGCCCCAATTCCAGTGCCCACCTCCCCAGAATCCCCCACCCCCAGATCTTCTTTTCTCCCAACCCGTTTCTCCTGGAGCTAGCTGGTTTTGCAATTTAATGGTGAAAACGACTGCCACCTTGAACTTCTAACTTAGCTGGAAGTGTCATTCTACCACCTAGGTGCTTGGGTTCCTCCAGCAAGGGACTTTCTGAGGAAGGGGCACTCGGGTAGCAAAAAGTCTGAGTTACTGGCAACGTTGACAGTCCCTATGGGGCCTCCCATGTACAAGGCCCTACCTAATGTATGAAAATGGGCCCAGCCAATGCTGGAAGCAGAGGACCATTTCTTTCAACAAGAGAGAGGGAAACTGAGACCCAGAGACGAATGACTTGCTGAGGTCACACAGTGAGTGACAGGGCTTAGCCTGGCATCCAGTCCCATCTGCTGGTAATCATTGAGGGGGGAACAGATGGTTTGTGAGGGGTCTGGCATTGCTTAGGGCAATGGGTGCCTCTGCCTGACCTGAGCCTGCTGTCCCCACAGTGTCCTCAGCCTGGGGGGGCTGCGTGGAGGTGGACTCGGAGACCGAGGCCGTGTATGGGATGACCTTCAAAATTCTTTGCATCTCCTGCAAGCGCCGCAGCGAGACCACCGCTGAGACCTTCACCGAGTGGACCTTCCGCCAGAAGGGCACTGAGGAGTTTGTCAAGGTGTGCGGGTGCCGGGCACAGGTGTGGGATGGCGGGAATCCGCGTGTGGGAGGCAGTGGGGCTGGATCTCAGGGAGGGGGCTTGTTTGTTTGTTTTAATAATATGCTGTGATTGCTGACCTGGATTCAGATTCTGGCTCTGCCAGTGGCCTGCTGGTGACCTTGGCCAAATCAGTGAGCCTCTCTGAAAGTCAGTTTCCTCCTCAGTAAAGATGGGGTGGCAGTGGTCTCTAGCCCATAGGTTTGCGTGAAGACCGAATGCATTGACGCACCTGGCACATGGTTGGCACGAAATAAATGTCAATGGACTTATTTGGCACCAGCAAACAATGTCTCGGATAGTCATTACAGAGGGAAGACAGAACTTTTTTCTTTTTTTTTTAACCTCCTTTGAAATACGTGTGTATTTTGCATTACATATGGGAGAGGGAACCATAAACTTCGATGACATGCTGGAGAATTGGGGTCTCCAGCTGCGAGGATCAGACTGCCCTGTCCCTGCTGGAGGAGTGTATCTGGTGGCTGGGAAAGAACTGCAGAGAATGATGGCCTAGAGGCCAGATGGGGCTTGAGAGGATGACTGAGGAACATGTGTGTGCACATGTGCATCTCGGCTGGAGGCAAAAGCGGGGTCTGGATGACTCCAGGCATGATCCTAGCCCCCGCCCCCCACCCCTGTGCCCTCTCTGCCTGAGGTCAAGGCGTCTGAGCCCATCTATGTACCATCTGTGTCTGTGGGTGTCACGGCAGGGGAGAGAATCAGGGTCAGGTGAGGGAAGAGAGGCCCAGGCAGCGACACCTCCCCCTCCCTGGCTACCCCTAGATCCTGCGCTATGAGAATGAGGTGTTGCAGCTGGAGGAGGACGAGCGCTTCGAGGGCCGCGTGGTGTGGAACGGCAGCCGGGGCACCAAGGACCTGCAGGATCTGTCTATCTTCATCACCAACGTCACCTACAACCACTCGGGCGACTACGAGTGCCACGTCTACCGCCTGCTCTTCTTCGAAAACTACGAGCACAACACCAGCGTTGTCAAGAAGATCCACATTGAGGTAGTGGACAAAGGTGAGTTGGGCGCTGCCTGCCCCTTTGCCGTCACCCACCGGCGAGCCAGATGGAGGGACAGATGGCAGGTAGCGGACAGGACAGGCTGGCTCTGTGCCTGGCCAGCCATCCGCCCACAGCAGCGGCCTGGGGGAAGAGGGGAGCAGCCTCTCCCGCCCACTCCAGCTCTGGCCTCTGTTTCCCTCCAGCCCACGGAGAGGTCAAAGCATGCATCTCCCCCACAGATGCTCCGGGTACAGAACCCAGCTGTCACCTGTGCTGCATGATCTCTGGCAGGTGCCTTCTGTCTCTGAGCCAAAGGGTTGTCCTGGGCTCGCCCAGGATAATAATCTGATGTGTTTCTCGGGGTGTAGTTTGAGCCATTATTCCATCACGGGCGTCATGAGGATTGAGCAACTGCAGGCACATGCCCAGCTTCCAGAAGAGCCTTGCACGTGGTGGTGAGGGTGGCGGTTCTTACTGTTTGAGTAACTCAGCCCTGCTGCCCTCTGTCGTGATGAGACAAGAGAGCGTGCCACCTAGAGCAGAGGTCCGCACACCCCTCTGCACTCCTGCCACAGGGGAGCCGCGCTGGCCTGCAGAGTCTCACTCAACACCTCTGAGGCGGGCCCAGGGGTCCTTTCTAAAACTCTCAGGTGAGGCAGTGTGGGGCCACAGGTGTGGGGCCCACCCTCTGAGCAGCAAGGATCTACAGCGCTTTCGGATGTCTCATCATTTTGCCTCAGCTGCCCTGGACTCCTTGTTTGAGGGAGGTCCACCCCTTCTCTGAACCATCTTCTGCTCAGCATCAATTGCAATTGTCCAGGGCCCTGTGGCCACTGGCTTAGAGGCGGGGAGATAGCCCAGGTTTGAACCAGCTACAAGCCGTGGCAGGAAGGTCTCTCGGGGCCATGGCACACACATCCTCATGGGCAACATGCACTGCCCGTCTTTTCCGTGAGATGGATGCCGGCCTCAGTGCCTTACAAGGAGTTCCTTAGTGAATCCTCTCCCCGCCCTCGGGGTAGGGGCTCTTCCTATCCCCATTTTACAGATGAGAAAACCACGGTTCAGGGAGGGAAAGTTATGTGGCCAAAGTCATGTGACTGGGAGCTGGACTTGAACCCAGAGGAGCTTGGGTGACTGTGTTTCCGTTCTTGGCATGATTCACTGTACTCTGTGATCAGCCAGAGCCTGTGGGTTTCTTTTTATAATGAGCATTTTTACGTTTATTGTCAAAGCGGTGTAGCCAAATGCAATTCAGCAGGCATGTCTGAGCCACTCTGGTGTTCGTCATGCTGCTGGGGGGTGGGGGTCAGCCGCAGACGTGGACGATGGAGCCCCACCCGCAGAGTTGCTGTGACAAAGACGCCCCCGGTACTGGGGCTTTACAAAACCTGTTATTGCTCTGGCAAATCTGTAGAGGTGAGATGGGAGAGGGTGGGAGGCCCCAGGGCACTGTTCAGCCACCTAGGTGCTTTCCATCTTGTTATTGGCAATTGGCCAGGGTGTTGTGTCCTCTGTACACCATGACCCAGTAGAGCCTCTCTCTTTTTTTTTTTTTAATTTACATTTTTATTTTTTGATACAGAGTTTTGCTCTTGGTGCCCAGGCTGGAGTGCAATGGCGTGATCTCGGCTCACTGCAACCTCCACCTCCCGGGTTCAAGTGATTCTCCTGCTTCGGCCTCCCGAGTAGCTGGGATTACAGGCATGCGCCACCACGCCCAGCTAATTTTTGTATTTTTAGTAGATATGGGGTTTCCCCACATTGGCCAGGCTGGTCTCGAACTCCTGACCTTAGGTGATGATCCACCTGCCTTGGCCTCCCAAAGTGCTGGGATTACAGGCATGAGCCACTGCACCCGGCCTGAGCCTCTCTTTTTTAGGATTGTCCACTGTTATCACACTACATCCCAGAGCCCGTATTTTTACCAGCATTTACCGTTGTATGCAGTTCCTTATGTTGGCCCTGCAGAGTTTGTTTTCTGTACTATCCACCCAGTTCTAGTGTTTTTTACCCACCATATGTAGTATTGCCTTTTAAACATCACCCACTATATTATAGTATTTTATATTACCCACTATAGTATATTTTATGTTACACAATATATTATACTATCATAATATTGCCAAACACAGCAGTTTTTTGTTTTTTGTTAAAGAGAGACCAAGTCTCACTCTGTTGCCTAGGCTGGGATACTGTGGCATAATCATAGCCCACTGCAGCCTCAAACTCCCCAAATCCAGCGATCCTCCTGCTTGAGCCTCCCAAGTAGCTGGGACTACAGGTGTGAGTCACTATGCCCAGCTATATATATATATATATGTCTTTTTTTTGTAGAGACTGGATCTTGCTATGTTGCCCAGGATGGTCTTGAACTCCTGGCCTCAAACAATCTTCCCTCGTTGGCCGCCGTAAGTGCTGGGATTACAGGAGTGAGCCTCCACACCTGGCCTGCAGTATTTTTATTATAATCCATCATGCTAGAGTATTTTTAACATTCCCCACCATGGTGGGTATTTTTATTATCCACCATGCTGTGCTATAGTATTTTAAAAATCAATCCTATTGTAGCATTTAAAAATATTCCATTCTATACTATACTATATTCATCATCACCCCTGATACTACAGTATTTTTAACATGGCTCACTGTGCTACTGTATTTTTTCATTACCCACAATACCACAATATTATTTGTTAGCACTGCCTGCCATTCCTTATTATTATTATTTTTGTGATGGAGTCTTGCTCTGTCACCCAGGCAGGCTGGAGTGCAGTGGCACAATCTCAGCTCACCGCACCTCCCGGGCTCAAGCGATTCTCCTGCCTCAGCCTCCCAAGTAGGTGGGATTACAGGTGCACTCCACCATGCCCAGCTAATTTTTGTACTTGTAGTAGAGACGGGGTTTTACCATGTTGGCCAGGCTGGTCTCGAACTCCTGACCTCAGGTGATCACCCGCCTCAGCCTCCCAAAGTGCTGTGATTACAGGTGTGAGCTACTGTGCCCGGCCTATTATTATTATTATTGTTTTGAGTCAGAGTCTCACTCTGTCGCCTAGACTGGAGTGCAGTGGCACGATCTTGGCTCATTGCAGCCTTTACCTCCCGAGTTCAAGCGATTCTCCTGCCTCAGCCTTCGAAGTAGCTGGGATTACGGGTGCATGCCACCATGCCTGGCTAATTCTTTTTTATTTTTAGTACAGATGGGGTTTCGCTATGTAGACCAGGCTGGTCTTGAACTCCTGGCCTCCATTGATTCACCCACCTTGGCCTCCCAAAATGCTGGGATGACACATGGGAGCCACCACACTGACCTTTTTATTATTTTTATCCACCATCTCGCTGCAGTTTCAATATTGCCTATCAACCTCTATTGCCTCCTGGTAATGACCCCTGAGGAACGAGACATGTCATTTCCATAGGAGGAGGCGACGGGTCATGGTGGTGAGAACTTCACTGACCTGGAAGAGGTGGAGAAGATGCTGGGAAGCTGCTGGGGGCTGCCCACTGGTGGTAGGAGCAGGCAGATGGGGACCCATGGGGACAGTAATCCTATTTTGGATCCACACAACATGAGTGGAAAATGCCTTGAGGCGCAGCAGTGTCTGAGGCGGGTGAGAAATCCGGCCTGCAGAGTCGCGGCTGGCCTTCAGATCTGCGGGCTGCCTGTGAGATGCCATGTTACCTAAACCCATTTGGGCACTGAGTTCCAGGAGCGGGGGCATGAATTCCGATGATGGGGCTTTATCCGGTGTGCATCCAGCTCAGAGTGGTTCCTGAGGCCAGCCACTGTGGGCAGCCAGGATGCGCTCGTCCTTGAGGTTTTCGGAGGCATCAAGGAGATGGTTGGATAAAGAATTTAGCACAGAGCTTGACTGACAGCAGGTGCCCACTACATGAGACACACTAATAATGTCTGTGGAGGCCGGGTGCAGTGGCTCATGCCTGTCATCCCAGCACTTTGGTGGGAAGATTTCTTGAGGCCAGGAGTTCAAGACCAGCCTGAGCAACACAGCGAGACCTCATCTCTACCAAAAAAAAAAAAAAAAAAAAAAGGAAAAAATTCACGGAGCCTGGTGGTGCACACTTGTAGTCCCCACTGCTCAGGAGGCTGAGGCAGGAGATGGCTTGAGCTCAGGAGTTCCAGGCTGCAGTGAGCTATGACTGCATCACTGCGCTCCAGCCTGGGCAATAGAGCAAGACCCTGTCTCTTATAAAAATAAAGAAGTCTGTTGAAAAGAATGAATGAAGGAAGGAAGGAAGGAATGAGAAGGAAACCCTGTCCCAGCTCCTCCCACAGGGAAGCTGGGGCAGGCAGGGGGAGCATCCAGCCCCACTCCCTCCCTCACTCTGGCCCAGAAAGCACTGGTGCCATCTGCACAGGGTGGAGCCACAGAAAGTGCCCCACTCGCAGCAGAGGGAGGCCATTTGAGGACAGCAGGGAAAATGGGATCTCAGCCATCCAGGAGGGGGCCAGAGATGTGGGATGGACACCTAGGAAATCCAGCCGAGGACACCAGAGTGGCTTTTGACTCTGGTCCCCTGGCTGAACGCGTTCCCTTTACAGTTTAAATTTAGGCTCAAGGAGAAGCTGGCAATTGGCGGGGCCAGTGCTGTAGAGAGAATGTAGAGTTTCCGGAAAATAGCCAGCACTTCAGCAGTGCTGACTATGTGCTCATCCAAGCATGTTACGGATGTTAACTCATTTCCTCTCCCAGCAACCCTGTGAGAGGGTCTGTGTATTCCCACCTCCATTTTACAGAGGCTCAGAGAGGTGCAGTCCTTTGCCTGAGGTCACACAGCTAGTAAGAGGCAGAGCCGGGATTTGAACCCTGGCAGTCTGGCCCCAGAGCCTGTTAACCACTAGGCTTTACTGCCCCAGTTATAATAACATTCATAAAAGTGAACCTTCATTGAATGCTATTTATAGATCAAGCACTATTCTAATGATTTTAAAGCATATTTAATTCTCACAGCACTCTGATGAAGGAAGTATTAATTGTACAATTGAAGAAACAGAGGCGGCTGGGCGCGGTGGCTCAAGCCTGTAATCCCAGCACTTTGGGAGGCCGAGACGGGCGGATCACGAGGTCAGGAGATCAAGACCATCCTGGCTAATCTGGTGAAACCCCGTCTCTACTAAAAAATACAAAAAACTAGCCGGGCGAGGTGGTGGGCGCCTGTAGTCCCAGCTACTCGGGAGGCTGAGGCAGGAGAATGGCGTAAACCCGGGAGGCGGAGCTTGCAGTGAGCTGAGATCCAGCCACTGCACTCCAGCCTGGGCGACAGAGCGAGACTCCGTCTCAAAAAAAAAAAAAAAGAGGCCCAGAGACACTGAGTCACTTGCCCAAGGTCACACAGCTGGCCAGTGGCAGAGCCAGCCTTTGAACCAGAGCCTTCTGGTTGCAGAGCTACGGCTTTTAGGCACTGTGCTGAGGGCCTCTGGAATAACACAGATGTGCCCTCGAGTTACACAGGGAGGCAGGTTGAGGGTGATGCCCACCAGGCCCACCCAAGGCTGGGCATTAATAATCACAGTGCATACACCAGGCCCAAGGAGGTCGAGCCACTTGCCCAAGCTCACACAGCAAGCTCACAGCACACTCAGGCTGTCATGCAGTCTGGGCTACCCCCTTAACCCTGCCTGGCCCCTGCAGCCAACAGAGACATGGCATCCATCGTGTCTGAGATCATGATGTATGTGCTCATCGTCGTGTTGACCATATGGCTCGTGGCAGAGATGGTTTACTGCTACAAGAAGATCGCTGCCGCCACGGAGACTGCTGCACAAGAGAACGCGTGAGTTGGGTGGCTGCGAGGAGTGAGGGCACACAGGGCAGCTTCGCACTTGCCAGAGAGGAACACCCGGAGCCAGGCGGGGAGGAGGCAGTGGAGCGGCCCAGGGCGCCATCTCTCAGCACCATCCAGAGGGGAGCGCTCCCTGTCAGACATGGGATAGGGGTGTCAGACCCAGTCCCTTCCTCCCTCAAACCCAGGAGCCCAGGCTCCCAGCCAGATTCCTCAAAGACCCTGAGGAGTCCACCCGTAGCCCCTTCCTCTAACTAAGGAGCCCTGTGTACTTGGGGTGGAGCCCGCTACCTTCCCCCATCCCCTGGGGGTTGGGTCGGTCTGATAATGGGGTCACTGTATACCTGGCCTTTCCCCCACAGCTCGGAATACCTGGCCATCACCTCCGAAAGCAAAGAGAACTGCACGGGCGTCCAGGTGGCCGAATAGCCCCAGTAAGGCGGATGCGCGGGCAGAGGAGAAGGGGATTGGGAGGGGCCGAAGTCCCCCAGGTCCCTAATTCCCCCTCTCTTGTTCCCCTTCAGGCCCTGGGCCCCGCCTCAAGGAAGAGCCAGCCCTAATGGGGACTCTCCAGGCACCGCCTGCGCCCAGGGTGGGGGTGGCCACTCCTGGGCCCCGGAAAGCCTGAGTCCTGCCGACGGAGCCGCTGGGGTGGGAGGGGCAGGGGGATTGGCTCGCACCCCCGCCTTGGCCTCCTCCAGCTCCTGCCCCGCCGGCCGCGCACCGCCATGCATGATGGGTAAAGCAATACTGCCGCTGCCCCCACCCTGCTTCTGCTGCCTGTTTGGGGAGGGGGGCGGTGAGGTGGGGGCAGCGGCCCCGCACCCCTCCTCCTTGCTGATTTGCACACATTGGCCGCTTCAGACATGCACTTCTGGGGCCAGCCCCTCCCCGCCTCCTCCCTGCCCGGCGGCAGGGATCGCGATGATGGGCTGGAGCAGTCTGGGGCAGGGGGTTCTGGGACCCACTCCGACTCCCCTTCCCCGGCATCATTTCCTCTCCCGCTTCCTCCGGCTGGACCTGGGGTCCCCCCTCCCTGTAATGCACTCCTGCCCCGGCCCAACCTCGCCCTCTCTCACCAGCCTTGAACTGTGGCCACCTAGAAAGGGGCCCTTTCAGCCTCGTCTCTCTTTACAGAAGTAGTTTTGTTCATGAAATAAAGACTCTTGGACTTGATGCATAGTTTCGAGTGTGAGCCCCGTCACCTTCCCCCCATCCCCGTCCCCGAATCCTAGAGCCCGCTTTCCAGGGACCCTACCCGAGGGCCCACAGGTGAAGACACTAATGTCTGATCCGTGTCGGGGTTGGGGGAGCCATTCGCTCGGCGGGGACCATGAGGGGTGAGGGAGAGTAGAACGGAGCCAGGAAGCGAGGGGGTGCTGTGGAGGGAAGAGAATGGAGGCAGATGCTGGGGTGCAGGGGTGGCATGGGGTGTGCGGTGTGCCCAGCAGTGTGGGTCTCTGGAGAGGTGGGCGCTGGAGAGAAGGAGAGGGAAGGAGAGACAGGTATGGATGGAAAAGCAGAGGAAGCCAGGCTAAACCAGCATGTCCCAGTGAGGGGCCCTGGGCTGAGTGGAGGAAATGGGTGCGGTGGAGATGGGTTTGGCTGGGCACAGCGGGCACGTGTGGGTAAGCGGGTGGGGCCGGTTTTGCGGGAGGCCTATCTGGAGCAAGCAGCCGAGGCTGACTGTGTCCGGCGTGTGGTTGAGCACGGGCAGGTGTCTGGCAGTGACCCTGCGCGTCTGGTGTTTACCTGGCCCTGGGTCTGACGTGGACCGCGCCTGGCTGCTGGCGGGACAGTGTGTTATCTGCCTGCGGACGCTTCCGGCCACTTGGCCTGGGCCTCTGCCCTTAGCGCTGTGTTTTCCGGGCCAAGCCCCCCATCCCCCCCATCTAGTGCTAGGACTTTCTGGCTCCAGAGGTCACTGCGGCCGGGCGGAGGCTGCCAAAGCAAACCAGCCCCGTGACTTGTAGGAAGGCAGCGGGGGAGGGGCCGGGGGAGGATGAGCAGGGCAGGCGGGAGAGGCTGGGGCTGGGGTCGGGGCCCAGGAATTGAGCAGGGAAGTAGGCAGAGGTGCAGCAAGTGGCGGGCGCAGCCTGGACCTGGGGCTGGAGAGTGCAGACAGGCCGAGGGGGAAGGGGTCACCGGGTGGGGATGGAGTGGGCTTAGGGCAACTGGGGCCCTCCATCTGATCTCTTCTGGTCACACCCCCACCCTTCAGCCTGCACTTTCTCCCTAAACCCCCAGTCGTCAGTCAGGCGTGTCCCTGTTCCCACACCCCCGCAGACAGGCACACCTGGGTCCCCCTGGAAGTCCAAGGCGAGCCCCATAGCTGGGCCCGCCTGGTCCAGCCCCCGCAAGCACGGCCCCATCAGCTAGGTGGCCTCCAGCGCTGCCAATCGAATGGTCCGGCCCCTCCCCGCCCCTTCCCCCGCCCCTTGCCCAGCCCCCTCCTCCTCAGGTGAGGCAGCCTGGCCTAGCAGGCCCCACGCCACCGCTTCTGCCTCCAGGCCACCCGCTGCTGCGGGGCCACCATGCTCCTGCCCAGGCCTGGAGACTGACCCGACCCCGGAACCACCTCCAGGCTCCGCCCTCACCTGCCGGACCCCAGGGTAAGGACCAGGGCCCCCAGACTCACAGTTCCAGCCCTGAGGACAGGGGTTCCCTCATACCCCCACCCAGCCTAATGCCCACCTCCTAATGGAGGGGTTCCCGGGGACCTGAAGAGGGTGCACTGTGACGTCCCCCCAAGCACCTAGGTGTTCTGGCCTGCTCTTCCTTCAGACTCAGCGGTTGAACCCCAGTCCTTCCTCCCCAGACCCAGGAATTCCAGCCCTCAGGCCCCTCCTCCCTCATACTAAGGAGTCCTGGCCCCCAAATTCCTCCTTTCCCAGGACTTATGATTTCAGGTCCTCAGCTGTCTCCTCCCTCAAACCCGATCCTCAGTCCCCTGCTCCACTAGGCTTAGGCATGGGGGTCCCCAGCCCTGCAAATCCAGGCGTCCCCCCGCTGCTGGTCAGACACTGACCCCATCCTTGAACCCAGCCCAATCTGCGTCCGTGATCACGGCGTGCTCTGGCCAATGCCCAGTCCCTACAGCCTGCCTGGATGGACGCCTGGGACTGGGGGCGCCAGGACTGGGCTGGGCTGGGCTCCCCCAGGCCCTGCCTCCCCGTCCATCTCCTCACAGGTCCCACCCTGGCCCAGGAGGTCAGCCAGGGAATCATTAACAAGAGGCGGTGACATGGCGCAGAAGGAGGGTGAGTCCCCTTCCCTGAGCCCCAGCTTTGGTTCTGCCTGGCGCCCCGCCCTCTGTGCTCTCTTCTCTACCCTCTACTCTTCGGAGCCCCCTCTCTCTGGGCACCCCTCCCAGACGTATTCCCACCCCCTCTTAGTCCTCCTCCACCTGATTAACTATTAACTACATTTTCTGTGCAGCTGTGCCACCACCAGCCTCCCTTCTACCCTATATGACCTTCCTGGCATGCTGCCTCAGTTTCCCCTCATCCCCCAGTGATTTCTCAGCTAACCCTGGACTTGTCCTTTACTGGGGCTGAGGCGGGGAGGCTGTAGCTGTCATGGTTAAGGACACAGGTTTGGAGTCAAACACACAGGCTTGCATTTGAATTTGCTCTTGCCACCTTTTTTGCTGTGTGATCTTATGCAAGTGACATTATTCTCAGCGCTTTGGTCTCCCTCTGGGTCAAGCATGGATCCCAGTCCTCCCTCCATGAGGTTGCTGAGTGCATGAGACACACCAGGCACTGGCTGGGGCTCTGCATATAAGACACATGCCGTCAACCAGAGCTGTCATGACAGAGGTTGGCAGACTCAGAGTCCCAGAGACCCAGGACCCCCACCGATTCCAGACATTCCTCCACCTCCTGGCACTGTGGGCAAAAGAGCAGAGGGAGGACTTTGGACTGGGCCTGGATGGATGGAGAGGGGAGAGGCGGCAGATAAACCACCATAAGGATGACAGAGAGAGACTGCGTGATGGAGTTGCTGGCTCTTGGGAGGCTCCGGGCAGCCCCCAGCTAGCCTGGCTTCCTTTCTACCTCTCACACACGGGACCCAGCTGGAGGGGCGCATGGAGGGGCGGCCTGTTCTTTCCGCCTTCTCCTAGCTAGGGCTGACTCCCTCTCTTCTTCCTGCAACCAGGCTAGCTGGGCTCAGTCCCAGGCAGTAGCATTTTCTAGCTGTATGGCCCTGGGCAGGCGGCATGTTCTCTCTGGGCCTCCATTCTCTCATCTGTGAAACGGAGAGGGTGACAGTGCATGTCCGACAGTGTGGGGAGAGGCCTGAAATGCCAGGATGGGCAGGAAGCACTGAGCGCGTTGGCTGAAATGATTAGTTCAGATCTCTGGCCTCCTCGGGTCTCAGCAGAGCTGGCAATTCAGACCCCAAACCATTCAACTGCGGTCCAGAGGGCACCCAGGCTCCCAGTTACTCAGGAGAAGGCACTGCACCCCTAGCTGAGCAGGTGGATGACAGAGTCCAGCTCCTTGGGGACAACGTCTTTCCTGGAGCTGCCGGAAGGACAGCACCTGGGCTTGGGCCTATGGGTGAATGAGCCAGGGAAGAAAAGCAGAAAATGTCTGGATAGACAGAGACGGCCTGGGTACAAAGAGAAACAGACACAAAGTGGGCTCTGGTGCCTCCCCGGCAGCTCCTGGCTGGTCTCGGAGGGGAGTCCTGCTGTCAGGGCTGGGGATGTGGGAGTCAAACCTGGACACAGATGCTGAAGCGTTCCAATTCGGCACTTACTTGCCGGGTGACCCGGGTTTGGTGGCTGCCAGACTTTGGGCCTCCTTTTCTCATCTATAAACTGGGGGTGATGGCAACGGCGCCTTCCTCATGAACAGCTGCAAGGATTTAAGGATGCTGTGCAGGACTGGACGGGGTTAGGGCAGGGCGGTGTGTCCGTGTGTGGTTCTGAGATCCTTTGTGGCTGCAGTGGCTGCTGTTGGTGGTGTCACTGTTATTGCTGCTGGCCTCTGGGTGCTGCCTGGGAACTTGGAATTGGAGGAGGTGATATTGGAGTTGCAATTCCAAAGATGCCAGGCAGAGGGAAGAGCAAGGCTCTTGCTCTTCTGTGGGAAGCTGGGAGGTGACACAGCGCTGGTGTGCACATAGCCAGTTGTGGTAATTCTGGAGGTGAAGTTGGAAGTGGAGCTGGGTGGGAGAAGAGGTGTGCAAGCTGGACCAGGCAGGGGTGGGACTGCTTTGAGGAAGAGCCGGCCAATTCCTCGCAGTGCCAGGTCTCTCCACAAGGTGGCGCCAGTGGTTAGTCCCTGCTTCTCTTGTCTAACTTGTATTTCACAAGTTCTACTGTTTGGGTTGTTTTTGGAAGCTCTCTCTGGTGCCTGATAATGACCCACATGGTTGTCTGGGAATTGGGGTAAACATACTTCCAATTCTCTAAAAGCCATGCTTATACCCTAGTGGGGCTGGAAATGCCAGGCTGAGGGACTTAAGCTGTCCTGGGGGTACTAAGGAGTCACAGAGGGCTCTATAGGTAAAGAGGGGACAGGTTGGATTTGGTGTCTCAGTAGGTTCCCCAAACCTCCGTGTGGAGGGTGGGCTAGAAGGGAGATTGAGCCCACCAGTTGGATGGGGCTGGAGCAAGGTGGAGATGGAGGGAGAGAAGGAACCGGGAGAAGGAGAGTCACTCAGGAGGATTGGCAGGCTGTGGGGGGAGGGGAATGTTATGCAGACGAGGATGGTCCTAGGAGTGAGGGCCGGCCTCTGAGACAGGACCTGGGAGGAAGAATATACTTAGGGAGACATTGAGGTCATTCTGGGACCTGGTAGGAGCAAAGAGCCTAGGAGGTCCCAGGGAAAGGTATTAAAAAGGTATTTAAAGGACTGCAGGAACCCTGACCTGGGACCTGGAAGACCGTCTAGGGCTGGGGACAGAGGGGAAACTGAGTCCACAGAGGTGGATGAGACAGACTTAGGGGTAGGGAGCAGTAGGGGGAGGCTGCGGCCAGCCCTACAAACTCCACATTTTACTGAGTAGGTAGAGCGTGGGTGGAGACAGAGACAGGAAGGAAAATCAGATGTACGTAGTGTCCCGGAAGTCCAAAGAGGAGATTCAGGAAGCTGCAGTCATGTAAGATGAGGCCCGAGACACACAGCCACCAGTTGAGTGGATTTTCAGAGCCAGAGAGCCAAAGGTGTCACGTTTGAGGGTCTTTGCAGCCAAATGGTGGAGGTGGAAGAACTGACCTGTGGCAAGACCCAAGGCAGCCAGAGGGGCCTGGAGAAAGCAGGGGCAGAGAGTCTCAGGGAGACATGGGGGTGGCGGAGGTCTGGCTTACCGAGGGAAATGGCCCTGCTGCTGGGATCAAATAATTGATGATGACATGTCGCCTGTCCCAGTAGAGACACGCAGGGAGGAGGATGAGGATGCATCCCACACCCTGGGCCAGATGAGGATGCTGCCTGTCCCTGTAGAGACATGCAGGGAGGATGCCTGTCATACTGGGGGAACTCCAGGATGCAGATGCTTCCTGTCCCACTGGAGACACTGAAGTCCTCTGAACCACGCAGCATGGAAGGAGGTTCTTCCTCTCACCCTAGGAGACACATACATAGTGGCATTGCTTCCTGTCCCACCAGATGTGCCAAGGCCTCTAGGCTGCATTCTGCGTGGCCTAGAGCCCTGGCAGGCACAGCTGAAAACAAAGGAAGCAAGACCAGCCCCATGGCTGTGGGGAGGCAAGACCTCCCGCCGGAACCTGGAGAATGGTCCTGGGCAGAGTTGGGGGTGGCAGGCCTGAGAGCCCCTTGCAGGACAGGCAGGGGTCAGCCAGCAGTAGCTGGGCCGGTCTGGCCCACTGGGGCCTCTTTTGGGGAAGACAGTGTTCCCTCATGCCTTGATGGGAGCCACTGAGCTCTCAATTTTTTTTTTTTTGAGACAGAATCTCGCTCTGTTGCCCAGGCTGCAGTACAGTGGTGCAATCTTGGTTCACTGCAACCTCCAACCTCCTGGGTTCAAGCGATTCTCCTGCCTCAGCTTCCCAAGTAGCTGGGACTACAGGTTCCTGCCACCACGCCCAGCTAATTTTTGTATTTTTAGTAGAGTCAGGGTTTCACCATGTTGGCCAGGCTGATCTCAAACTCCTGACCTCAAGTGATCCACCTGCCTCAGTCTCCCAAAGTGCCCCACCTGAGCTCTCAAATTCTTTTTTTTTTTTTTTTTTTTTGGAGATAGAGTCTCGCTCTGTCTCCCAGGCTGGAGTGCAGTGGCCCGATCTTGGCTCACTGCAACCTCCGCCTCCCGGATTCAAGCATTTCTCCTGCCTCAGCAGGGACTACAGGCCTCTCAAGTAGCTGGGACTACAGGCGTCCATCACCATGCTCGGCTAATCTTTGTATTCCCAGCAGACATGGGGTTTCGCCATATTGGCCAGGCTGGTCTTGAACTCCTGACCTTGTGATCTGCCTACCTCAGCCTCCCAAAGTGCTGTGATTACAGGCGTGAGCCACCGCGCCCAGCTGAGCTCTCAAATTCTTAAGACACCCAGATAATGTCCACCCCGGGAAGGTCCTATACCACTCCCTGCTCTGTTCCGGGCACTGGCCTGGTGCCGTGCTCACCAGCCACACCACCATGGGCACAGATGGGAGAGCTGGGAGCTTCTGCTGCCCCGGGGGTGCTTTGAGGCTGCCAAGGGCAGTTGAGCCCAAGCCAGGCCCAGCTGAAGGCTTTCAGCAGCCTTTACTCTTTGGTCCTCTTATAATCCCTAGTGAAGCGGTTGGCTTTTAATCTCCAGGACCTCTTTGCGCTGGGAATAAAATCCCTTTTCCTGTGCCACCAGGCCTCCCCAGCTGGCCCCAGCCTTGGTTCCCACTACCTTCCCCAAGCTCCGGCCATCTGGTCGTCTCGATGGCCTCTCCAGCCTCTGACATAACAGAGCCTGCTTATTCTTGCCTCAAGGCCTTTGCCTGTGCTGTTCCCTCTGCCCACAGTGCCCTTCCTTGCGGTCTGTGCATGGCTGGCACCTCACCTTTCAGAGCTTAGCTCAGAAGTCTCTTCTAGGGGAGGCCCTCTGATCCCTGATCCCCCTGCAGCAGCCCATTTGCTGCCCCCAGCCTGCACGGTTTTCCTCACAGCCTCTGCCACAATCTGGAAATTATCGGGTTCATTTACTTGTTTCCTTGTTAATGTCTCCCACTCCCCACCCACACGCATGAGACTGTGAACCCCTGAGAGCCGTAACCTTATCTGTCTTCTTTGGGTTATGTTCCCGGAACCTAGAAAGGTGCCAGGCACACAGCGGATGCTCAGTAGGATGGTAAACAAATAAAGCTCCATTAGGCTGATGAAAAAACTGAGGGTCAGGCGTGGTGGCTCACACCTGCAATCTCAACACTTTGTTTGGGAGGCTGAGGCAAGCAGATAGCTTGAGTCTAGGAGTTCATGACCAGCCTGGCCAACATGGCAAACCCCGTCTCTACAAAAAATACAATAATTAGCCGGATGTGGTGGTGTGCGCCTATAATCCCAGCTACTCAGGAGACTGACAGGTGGGAGAATTACCTGAGCCCGAGAGCTTGGGACTGCAGCGTGCCATGATCACGCCACTGCACTCCAGCCTGTGCAGCACAGTGAGACTCTGTCTCCAAAAAAAAAAAAGAAAGAAAAAGAAAAAAAGAAAAGAAAAAACTGGCCGGGCGCGGTGGCTCAAGCCTGTAATCCCAGCACTTTGGGAGGCCGAGACGGGCGGATCACGAGGTCAGGAGATCGAGACCATCCTGGATAACACGGTGAAACCCCGTTCTACTAAAAAATACAAAAAAACTAGCCGGGCGAGGTGGCGGGCGCCTGTAGTCCGGCTACTCGGGAGGCTGAGGCAGGAGAATGGCGGGAACCGGGAGGCGGAGCTTGCAGTGAGCTGAGATCCGGCCACGCACTCCAGCCTGGGTGACAGAGCGGACCCTCAAAAAAAAAAAAAAAAAGAAAAAAAAAAAAAAAACTGGCCGGGCACGTGGTCAGCTGTATCCACTTGGAGCGAGACGGCGATCATGAGTCAGGAGACGAGACACCTGGCTAAACAGTGAAACCCGTTCTACTAAAAAAATACAAAAAATAGCCGGCGAGTGGGGGCGCTGTAGTCCAGCTACAGGAGGCGAGCAGGAGAAGGCGCAAACCAGGAGCGGAGCTTGCAGTGACTGAGATCGGCCACTGCACTCCAGCCTGGGGACAGAGCGAGACTCGTCCAAAAAAAAAAAAAAAAAAGAAAAAAAGAAAAAACTGAGGCTGAGGCTCAGAGAGGGGAGGGGAGTCGCTCAGGCCCACACAGCTCTAATGATTTATAAAGCACTTGCTGTGTGCCAGGCACTTCCGCACAGTGACAGACTGGATGGCTTCGTGGCTGCACACAGGGGAACTGGCATCAAACCTGCTCAGGGTTCCGGACGCTGTTCTGCCTCTTCCAGGCTGTCACCGCGGGCACGTGACCCCCCTCCTCTGAGCTATCTGAAAGAACAGGAATCATAGCTGTGGGATTGAAATAAGGACTAAATGAGCTGATGTATTTAGAGCAGTGCTTAGCACCTAGGAGGTATCTATACAATTTGGGCTATTCTTCTTCTTCTTGAAAATAACTTTAAATTATTATTTTTACAAGTAGGTGCTCAGTGGATGCCCATTTAATAGATAAGAAAGTTGAGGCTCAAAGATAGGATGGCACCTGCCTTGCATCCCAGCTAGGAAGGGGTGGGGTCAATATTTTTAAATGGGGCTGGCCAGGTGCAGTGGCTCACTCCTGTAGTCTCAGCACTTTGGGAGGCTGAGGAAGGAAGATCGCTTCGGCACAGGAGTTTGAGACCAGCCTGGACAACATAGCAAGACCACGTCTCTAAAAAATAGACACATAAAATCAAATGAGGCTGGCAGATTTTCAAGTGGAGGGGCAAATTTGATCTTGCAACTGGGTACCGTGAGAGAGGTCTGATGCAGGGGGTATCTAGGGGCAAAGTATCTAGAACAGCAGATACAACTGAGGCAGCAAGGAAATGCCAGCGGCAGGAAAGAGAGCTACCAAGAGGGCAAAGGTTGGGAGTCACAGTCCCAAGAAGAGACGACCCAAAGCAAAGACAGAAATACAAAAGCACAGTGTCACTGGGGAGGAGACATTCCCTAAGTGCCAGTAAGCGCAGGGCGGAGGCACAGACGGTGGCAGGTGGCCCGGCCATGCCCGCCTCCCAGCTGGAACCCTGGGGGAGCTGGGCACCTGGTTGTTCACGTGGCAGGGGAGGGACAGCCCTGTCAACTGCCGGCCTCGGGAAACTGGGCCCAGGGAGGGCAAGCTTGGGCATAGTAAGTTAGCCCTGGGGGCAGGGCAGAGCTGGCCTCGTGCCCAGACCCTGCCGCAATGAGGACAGGCCTGGCTGTGGCCCCAGCATGGTGTCTGTTGCAGGTGGCCGGACTGTGCCATGCTGCTCCGGACCCAAGGTGGCAGCTCTCACTGCAGGGACCCTGCTACTTCTGACAGCCATCGGGGCGGCATCCTGGGCCATTGGTGAGAGTGGTTCCTGTGCTTCTGACCTCCCCTGGCCCCTGCAGACTCCAGCCTGCCTGCCCTCACCCCTCCCTTCTCTGCAGTGGCTGTTCTCCTCAGGAGTGACCAGGAGCCGCTCTACCCAGGTGAGTGGAGCAGGCTGGGACCCTCTGGGGGAGCCCTGGAGGACACCTGTATCTGGCGGGAGCTCAACAACGTATTTGTTGAATAAATGTACAAATGCATGCAGAAATGCGAATCATAATAGTGCATTTGTATCGAGTGCCTGCTATGTACCAGGCACTATTCTAAGCACCCACATGTCTAACCCAGACTTTTTCAGACACCAGTGTATTACTCATGAGTGCCTCATAAAATTAAATTAGTGAGTTGGAAAACCACTTTTTTTTTTTTTAAGTATGAAATAGATTAGATTACAGACTATCACAGTGCATCTCGCAGTAAGCAAAGGTTACGCTAATTTTTGTTTTGTTTTGTTTTTGCATCCAAATACATGTAATCCCACTGCATCCCCACGCTGTGAGGGTGGGACTGTTATTCTCCCCATTTTACAGTTGGGGAAACTGAGGCTTCGAGCAATGTGATAGTCTGCCACAGACTACAGAGCTACGGGCTACATCAGGATGTAAAAATGTGTTTCTTACTGCAGGGCATGGTGAAAACATGTTGGGGAGGCATGGTATAAATTCAGTGGGCCCTTCGAACTCTCCTAGGAGGCAGGGTTTATTTAAAAAAAAAAAAAAAAAAAAAAAGTCTTGCTCTGTCACCCAGGCTGGAGTGCAATGGTGCAGTCTTGGCTCACTGCAACCTCCGCCTCCCAGGTTCTAGCGATTCTCCTGCCTCAGCCTCCCAAGTAGCTAGGAATGCAGGCATGTACCACCATGCCTGGCTAATTTTTGTATTTTTAGTAGAGACAGGGTTTCACCATGTTGGCCAGGCTGGTCTCAATCTCCTTACTTCAAGCAATCCACCTGCCTCAGCCTCCCAAAGTGCTGGGATTACAGGCGTGAGCCACTGCGCCTGTCCCTGGTAGTTGCTGTTATTAGTTCCATTTTACAGATGTGCAAAACGAGGACCAGAGAGGACATGCAGCTGGGGAATGAGGGGCCAGGAACAGATCTTAGACTTACCCACTGTAGGTGTGTCTGCAGGCATGTGGAACGAATGGCCACACAAATAAATAGACAAACTAACTGTGGGATGAATGAATGAATATTCCCAAATGCCAACTTCAAGCTGCCGTTCCCTGATACAGGACAGCAGGAAAAAAGGGGAAGTTGGGTGGTGGGATATATTTTTCATGTCTATGAGCCTCATCTAATTCCATAAAGGATTCAGTTCACACGAAAATCAGAAATGAAAATCCAGACAAGGAAAGCCAACATCAACATTAATCATCATTACCAGCACTTGGCATTTGTATGCACCAGGCAAGGCCTTGGGATCTTATGGTATCAACTCATGAAGTCTTCACAACAGCCTGTTTTTGTTTTTTATTTTTGAGATAGGGTCTTGCTCTGTCGCCCAGGCTGGAGTGCAGTGGCATGATCTTAGCTTATTGTAACCTACATCTCCCAGGCTCCAGCAATTCTCCCACCTCAGCCTTCTGAGTAGCTGGGACTATAGGCTAATGCCACCATGCCCATCTAATATATATTTTCTAAATTATTATTATTTTTATCTTTTGAGCTGGAGTCTCACTCTGTCACCCAGGCAGGAGTGCTATGGCGCAATCTTGGCTCACTGCAATCTCCACCTCCCAGGTTCAAGCGATTCTCCTGCCTCAGCCTCCCGAGTAGTTGGGACTACAGGCACGTGCCACCATGCCCAGCTAATTTTTGTATTTTCAGTAGAGACAGGGTTTCACCATGTTGGCCAGGCTGGTCTCAAACTCCTGACCTCAGGTGATCCGCCCGTTTTGACCTCCCATCCACCCATCTCGGCCTCCCAAAGTGCTCGGACTACAGGCATGAGCCACTGCACCCAACCTCATTTAAAAAATTTTTTAGTAGAGATGGGATCTTGCTATGTTGCCCAGCCTGGTCTTGAACTCCCGAGCTCAAAGCAGTCCTCTCAGATTGGCCTCCCAAAGTGCAGGGATTACAGGTGCGCACCACCACAACCCATTTTCCTATGGGGACGCTGAGGCACAGAAAGGTTGAGTGACTTGCCCCAGGTCATGGAGCTAGTCAGTGTCAGGACTGGGATTTGAACCCAGGCAGCCTGCGTAGCAACTGTATATAATGTCTACACTTGATTACTTGTTAAAAAAAAAAAAGAACAGCTGAATTCATTGCCATAGTGAAGACTAACGTATGCCGGGCCCTGGCTGCAGCCTTTACCCAATAGGCCTATGAAGTTGGGGCTGTTAATGTCACAACATTTTGCATGTGGGGGAAATTGAGTCCCAGTGAAGCAAACTGACTTGCCCGAGACCACACATCAGATAAGAGACAGAGCGAAGAGATCATGCCCCTGCCAAAAGCTCCTCCATGACAACACGTGGCATTGAGATAAAATCCCAACCCATCACAGGCTCCAAGGCTCCTAGTGTGGGGGCCCCTCTCTACCCCCACCTCACACTGGCTTCGAGCACCCTCGGGGCCCAGTACCTCGCTCAAATGACGTGTTCACACAGAAGTCTCTACTCACCCACTTCTTTCTAGCTCACAGCTGGAGGCAGATTTCAGTTCTGCACAGTTCCTTCTGAGCTGTAGGGCCTCCCACCAGTCCCTACCCTCTCCCAGCCTCAGTTTCCTCATCTGTGAGATGGGGGTAAGAAGAATCAGTGAGAATAAGAGGAGATAAAAATCTGTGCAGTACTTGGGTGGGGCGCGGTGGCTCACACCTATAATCCCAGCACTTTGGGAGGCTGAGGCGGGCAGATCACCTGAGGTGAGGAGTTCGAGACCAGCCTGGCCAACATGGTGAAACCTCATCTCTACTAAAAACACAAAAATTAGCCGGGCATGGTGGTGGGCGCCTATAATCCCAGCTACTCAGGAGGCTGAGGCAGGAGAACTGTTTGAACCCGGGAGGCACAGGTTGCAGGTTGCAGTGAGCTGAGATCACGCCACTGCACTCCAGCCTAAGCAACAGAGTGAGACTGTCTCAACAACAACAACAAAAAGCCATGCAGTACTTGGCTCTTAACCAGCACAGTGGACATTGGCTTTTGTTTCTCACTCTTGAAATTCTTTCTTGAAATTTATTGAGCAAGATCTTCCTGATCTTCCAGACTCTGCGGCCTCTCACCCTATGGTGGTGTCCCTGCCACTCCGGTAAAACCCTCCTCACTCACTGTGAATTATTTACTCCTGGCGAACTCCAGGAGGGCAGGGACCTTTTGTGGTCAGACAGTGCCTGGCACATAGTAGGTGCTCAGGAAATCCTTGAGTTGTGAGTGCACCCAAAGCCAAAACACTGAGATGAACTAGAGAGTCATGGGCCTCCAGCTGGACGGGCGTGAGGTCAGCACTCATACCGGGCTCTGGCCGGCGCCACGCCCCCGCCCTGTAGTGGTACTTGGGTTTTTCAACAACTCAGGGAAATGATAAACCAACACAAACAAACAAAAGCAACCCCAAGCTTGTATCCCCACCTCGTTTTTTTTTTTTTTTTTTTTTCCTGGGATTTTCACACTTCTAAATATATCCAACAACTTGGCAGGCACACCAGGTGACCCAGAACATCCTTTTTGTGTTGTCTGAAATGATAGGAACAAGAATAAAGAATTGAAAAGTGAGAAACAGTGGCAGAGAGTGTGACTTTAAAAATAGCCAGAGGGGACATTTGATGTTCTCTCCCCACTCCCGTCTCCCCCAACACACATCTATAAAGTGATTCCCCCCGCCCAAAACCTCACACTTTCTGGAAATCACATTTCCAGAGCAGTTAGCAGTCATTTTAAAATAAGAATCCACCCCTCTCCCCGCCCCAGCTGGTGTTTCAAACTCCAAGCCTTGGCTTTGGAATTCATGGGGCGATGAGGACCCCCAAGCTGGAGGTGCCGGGCGTTCCCTGTCCCAACCCGAGAGCAAGAGTCCGCAATTAAGGCAGGCCAAGCCAGTTCGGGGGCTCACGCCTGTAATCCCAGCACTTTGGGAGGCTCAAATGGGCAGATCGCTTGAGGTCAGGAAACCAGCCTGACCAACATGGCAAAACCCCATCTCTACTTAAAATACAAAAATTAGCCAGGCGTGGTGGCTGGTGCCTGTAATCCCAGCTACTTGGGAGGCTGAGGTATGAGAATCGCTTGAACTTAGGAGGCAGAGGTTGCAGTGAGCTGAGATCCTGCCACTGCACTCTAGCCTGGGAGACAGAGCAAGACTCCATCTCAAAACAAACTTAAAATAGAATAAAATAAAACAAGAATCCAACCCCCTCCCCGCCCCAGTTGGTGTTTCAAACCCTGGGCCTTGACCTTGGAATTCATGGTGTGATGAGGACCCCACAGCCAGAGACGCCAGGCGTTCCCTGCCCCAACCCCAGAGCAGGAGGCCATAATTATGGCAGGCCAGCCAGGTGGCTTTTCAGTCCCAGCCATAGCTGAATACATTAGGCAGGGAGACATGCAAGGGTTTGTATGAGACCCACAGAAGGAAGAGGGAATATGCAGGTCTGGGTTCAAGTCCTGGTTTTGCTGGTTAGCCATGGCCCCTGGGCAACTTTATTCCTCTGAGGCTCAGTTTTCCCATCTGTAAGATGGGCATAGAAGTGGTCACTGTTGGCCGGGCATGGTGGCTCACACCTGTAATCCCAGCACTTTTGGAGGCCGAGGCAGGTGGATCACCTGAGGCCAGGAGTTCGAGACCAGCCTGGCCAACATGGTGAAACCCCATTTCTACTAAGAACACAAAAGTTAGCTGGGCGTGGTGGTGGGTGCCTGTAGTCCCAGCTACTTGGGAGGCTGAGGCAGGAGGATCGCTTGGACCCGGGAGGCAGAGGTTGCAGTGAGCCAAGATGGCGCCACTGCACTCCAGCCTGGGCAACAGAGTGAGATTATGTCTCAAAAAAAAAAAAAAAATGGTTGTGGGATTGAAAGAGCCACTTGGATAGGATGCATAGCATGGGGCCAGCCCACTGACACCCCCAGTAAACATAGCCAGTGCTATAATTACTGTGCTGTTGTTTAACCCTCCAGAGGGGAAGTCTCTTGAGAAGCTGTCCAGGGCAATGTTAAAACTTGGGGTTTGAAGTCACTCAGACCTGATTTCGAATCCTCTCTCCCTGCTTCTCATGCACTTGGTGGTGGTGGGGAAGCCACTCCACCTCTCTGAGCTTCAGCTTCCCCATCTGGAAATGGGGGATGATCTTTGTGGCTCCTAGGGCGTGCGATGAGGCCTTGGTTGATGGTGGGGGCACACAGTAGGTCCTCAGCTGGGGACAGTTCTACTTGGAAGTCCTGCTTCTCCTTATCCTGACCTGTGGGGCTGTGGGAAGATCCCTCAGCTGGTGTGTAGCCTCACCAGGTTCCTTCTAAGAGGATGCAAAAGCAAGTTTTCATATGACTCAGTTTCCCAGAATGTGCTCTCAGAGCCCAGGCCAGGCGGGAGGCTCCTGAGAAAAGGACAAAAAGGCTGGGTGTGGTGGCTCCCACCTGTCATCCCAGTACTTTGGGAGGCCAAGGTGGGAGGATTGCTTGAGGCCAGGAGTTTGAGACCAGCCTGGATAATATAGCAATACCCTGTCTCTACAGAAAAAAATAAATTTAAAAGGTGTTTTTAGCTCAGGCTTTGCTGGATTCTAACCTGGCTATTGTCACTCAGCTCTATCCTAACATAAAAAAGTAAACAAACTAGCAGGGTGCAGTGGTATGCACCTGTGGTCCTAGCTACTTGGGAGGTTGAGGCAGGAGGATCGTTTGAGCCCAGGAGGTTGAGGCTGCAATGAGCTATGATCGTGCCACTGCACTGCAGCCTGGGTGATGCAGCAAGACCCTGTCTCAAAAAAGAAAAAAAAAAAAAAAAAGATGGCGGGGAGAAGGAAAGGAAAGGACAAAGACGTTCACAGCTGATCTCTCCCCGAACCTGCTCCCTCTGTCCCCATCTCTGTCCGAGCCATCTTTTCAGGCTCAGACCAAACCCCTCGGTTACCCTCCCAGTTCCTCCAGCCACCCATGAATCAGATCTTGCAGGAAGCCCTCTCAGCTCCACCTACAGAACCTCTCCAGAATCTGAACTCTTCTTCCCCTCGACTGCCCCCACCTTGCTCCAGCCCCCTTCCCCTTCCTGCTGCCTGCTGGACATTCCAGAACCTCCTCCCTGGCCTCTCTGCTCCCATCCCTGCCCCCCAATCATATCCCACAAAGGGGATATTACTCACTCACTTAACCGGCAATTCTGGAGGGTCTTAAAACCTGGCTGCCTCAAGGGGCTTTAAAACGTTATCAGACGGGGACCGGGTGTAGTGGCTCATGCTGCCGCCAGAGGGAGCTGGTGACCACCTGAGTCAGGTCAGGGCCCTCTCCTGGCTGCTCCTCACACCAGGTACCAGCAAAGCCCTGATATTGCTCTATTTCTAGCTCCCACCTCATCTCCCCCTCCCTGGCTCACTCTGCTCCGGCCTCCCGCTGTTCCTGGAGAACTCCCCCCAATCCCCCGCACCAGCCTTGGGATCTTTGCACCTGCAAGTCTATCTGTCTCCATGCTGATCTCACACACCTCCTGACACTTTCTCACCCCCTGCAGGTCTTTGTTCCTGCACCACCTTCCCAGGGACACTCTCCTTGCTGCGATTGAAAAGTGCAACCTCACCCCACCCCCCACACTGGCACTCTCCTCCCTCGGTGGCATTTTATTTTTCTCCGTGGCCCCTTCCTATCTTGTGACACACAATATATCCTACTTATTTGTCCCGTTCATGATCTGTCTCACCTACTGGGCTTTGAGTTCCACAGGGGTCAGGGTTTTTGTCTGATTTGTTCATTGCAGTGGTGATTTGTTCACTGCCTAAAATAGAGCTTGGCAGGTACAAAGTGTTTGATAAATAGAAATCAATATCCCAGGGGCTGTGACCTGACTTAGGTGTTAACAGGTTCCTCTGAGGTGTGTGGGGAGCAGACTGAGGGATTTCAGGGAACATCTGTTCTCACCACAAATTGCCCCCCAACCAGCCCCAGACATGAACAGTCTCCCGGGAGCTCCCTGTAGCCTTCTCGTATATTCCAGCCCTGCCTCATGTCACAATTTGTAATGATGTGTTTGGCTGGATGACATTTCTATGGCCATCTGTCTCCCTATCCCCCATAATGTGGTTTGCCAAAAGCAAAGCCCAGGGCTGTCTCGGTCATCTCTGTGTCTCCAGCATCACCCCTCACTGGGCATGGAGTATGTGTCCAGTTAACGCTTGCTGAGTGAATGAATACTCCATTCACTGCTTGGAGAATTATGCACGTTAGCATATTCAAGGCTCTGACAAGTCCTGCAGAAAAGATCATTATTGTTTTCTTTCTTTCTCGCTTTCTTTCCTTCTTCTTTTCTTTCTGACTACAAGATATTGATTAGCAATCTGGCAATAGTCAAGATTGGCAATCTGGTGTATTAGTCAAGGGTCTTCAGCCTACAAAAGACAAAAAGAAAAAATAAACAGGCTAAAAACAAAAGGGGATATGATTAACTCACTTAACTGACAATCACATAGATTCTTCAAACCTGGCTGCATCAAGGGGCTTTAAAATGTTATCAGATGGGGGCCAGGTGCGGTGGCTCACGCCTGTCATCCCAGCACTTTTTGGGAGGCCGAGACAGGCAGATCACTTGAGGTCAGGAGTTCGAGACCAGCCTGGCCAACACGGTGAAACCCCCGTCTCTACTAAAAATACAAAAAATTAGCCGGGTGTGGTGGCGCGTGTCTGTAGCCCCAGCTACTCAGGAGGGAGAATGGCTTGAATCTGGGAGGCGGAGGTTACAGTGACCCAAGATTGCACCACTGCATTCCAGCCTGGGTGACAGAGTGAGACTCTGTCTCCAAAAAAAAAAAAAAAAAATTTATCAGATGGGGAATGAATTCTGATATTAAAAACTGATGTTTATGTATACTATATTATTAAAGTTATTTTTCATAAAATGTAGAAGGGTAAGTTTAAGAAATGAGAAGTATTTATACCAAAACTATTAAATATTATTTAATTTAAAGATGTAAATGTCTTGTTGGACAAAGAAATCAAAATTTCCATTAGACAGGAAAAATAAGTTCAAGAGGTATGTTGAACAACATGGTGATTATAGTTAATAACAATATATTATATACTTGAACATTGCTAAAAGAGAATTTAAGTGTTCTCACCACACACAAAGGGTAGTGCATGTGTTAATTAGCTTGATTTAGCCATTCCACAATGTATACTTTTTCATATCATCTTGTATACTATCAATCTATATAATTTTTGTCAATTAAAGTAAATACATACCTTAAGGCCGGGCGCAGTGGCTCATACCTATAATCCCAGCACTTTGGGAGGCCGAGGCAGGCAGATCACCTGAGGTCAGGAGTTCGAGACTAGCCTGGCCAACTTGGTGAAACCCCCATCTCTACTTAAAATATAAAAAAATTAGCCAGGCATGGTGGTGCATGTCTGTAATCCCAGCTACTCAGGAGGCTGAGGCAGAAGAATCACTTGAGCCTAGGAGGCAGAGGTTGCAGTGAGCTGAGATTACACCATTGCACACCAGCCTGGACAACAGAGTGAGACTCTGTCTCAAAAAAATAAATAAATAAAAATAAAATAAATACATATATATACTTTTTTGAGATGGAGTCTCACTCCGTCGCCCAAACTGGAGTGCAGTGGCAAGATCTCAGCTCACTGCAACCTCTGCCGCTCGGGTTCAAGCTATTCTCCTGCCTCAGCCTCCTGAGTAGCTGCAATTACAGGCACCTGCCATCACGCCCAGCTAATTTTTGTAGTTTTAGTAGAGACGAGGTTTCACCATCTTGGCCAGGCTGGTCTTGAATTCCTGACCTGGTGATCCACCCATCTCGGCCTTCTAAATAAATACATATTTTAAAAGAGAAATCACTCTGGAAGGAGAGTTAATCTGTTGGATATAATAATAATAATAATACTCCATATAGCTATGGAAAAGTTCATATGAAGAAATCAGGCTACGACCTACAGACTAGCAACAAATTTGTTCTTCTATTTTCCATATGCTATCTGTGTACATATAAAGTGAGAGGTCTTTTTATATGAGTTAAGAGTGTGGCCAAAGACAAATGATAAACATACTAATAAACAGCTCCAGTTTCTCCACAAAAAATACAATAATAAAATAAAATGTTATCAGAAATCTCTTGGCTCTCCTCCATATTAGCTTACTTTCTCCCTCAAGAGAGTGAAGATGACCCTTAACAGATCCAGCCTTCTGTGCTGGATTCTCTTGGGAACTTGGTTAAATGTCTTTTTATCTTCCTGAATGTCCAAGTCACCTTCCAGACCTGCAGTTCCTGAGCAGCCAATTTGGGACTTCTAGGGGAAAGGGAAGTTCCCCTGGTTTGCCGAGGGGCCGGCCACAGCCCCAAGGCTGCTGTTCATTGGTCGGTCCTGAGTCCTTAGGTCTGGCAGAGTGCCATGGCGCTCTGTAATCCCACCTGTAATCTCAGCATTTTAGGAGGCTGAGGCAGGAGGATTGCTTGAGCCCAGGAGTTTGAGACCAGCCTGGGCAACATGGCAAGACCCGTCTCTACAAAAAATATACAAAAATTAGCCAGGTGTGGTGGTGCACGCTTGTGGTCCCAGCTGCTCAGGAGGTTGAGGTGGGAGGATTTCTTGAGTCTGGGAGGTCAAGGCTACAGTGAGCCAAGATCATACCACTACACTCCAGCCTGGGCAACAGAGCGAGACCCTGTCTTTAAAAAAAAAAAAAAAAGTCCTTGAGTCACGATTCCAGATGCAATCACGGATGTGGGGGCTGCAGCCCTCCAGTGGGCTGGGGTTCACGTCTACACCACATGGCCGTAGCACAGGCCAGGAGGGGCTCTGGCTGGAGAAGCACGTGGGGAGCCTGGCTGTGGGACCCAGGCGGCCCCGGGCCCTGTCACCCTGCAGTGCAGGTCAGCTCTGCGGACGCTCGGCTCATGGTCTTTGACAAGACGGAAGGGACGTGGCGGCTGCTATGCTCCTCACGCTCCAACACCAGGGTAGCCGGACTCAGCTGCGAGGAGATGGGCTTCCTCAGGTACTGGGGGCCCTCAGAGGGGTGCGAGCCGGGAGGGGTGGGGGAGCAGGCCTAACCCCGGCCCTGCCCAGGGCACTGACCCACTCCGAGTTGGACGTGCGAACGGCGGGCGCCAACGGCACGTCAGGCTTCTTCTGTGTGGATGAGGGGAGGCTGCCACACACCCAGAGGCTGCTGGAGGTCATCTCCGTGTGGTGAGGAGGGCAGCGGGCAGGTGGGGCAACACCTCGGACCCCCAAGGCACTCCCTCTCCCCGTTTTCCTTCCACCTGTCTTAATTGGTCTATTTCCTTTTTTTCTGTGTCTCCAATCCCGTCTCTCCCAGTGACTGTCCCAGAGGCCGTTTCTTGGCCACCGTCTGCCAAGGTGAGACCCTAAAACTCAGAACCCTCTCCTTTAGACCCTCGGGGAGGCCACGTCCCCTCAGGCTCCCCAGGATGGGGCTGTGTCCTTTCAGACCCCCTAGGGCAGGGCCAAACCTGGGCTCTGGGGACCTGGGCTCCAGTCCCCTGTCGCCGCCCCCGGCTGACCCCTGTCCCACAGACTGTGGCCGCAGGAAGCTGCCCGTGGACCGCATCGTGGGAGGCCGGGACACCAGCTTGGGCCGGTGGCCCTGGCAAGTCAGCCTTCGCTATGATGGAGCACACCTCTGCGGGGGGTCCCTGCTCTCCGGGGACTGGGTGCTGACAGCTGCCCACTGCTTCCCGGAGTGAGTGCCCCCCATGGTGCTGATGAGGGGGAGGCAGAGGAGCGGAGAGACAGTGGGGAGGGGGGCGGATTGTGCCCAGGCAGGTGGCCACCCTCCACCCCTTTCCCTGGTAGGCGGAACCGGGTCCTGTCCCGATGGCGAGTGTTTGCCGGTGCCGTGGCCCAGGCCTCTCCCCACGGCCTGCAGCTGGGGGTGCAGGCTGTGGTCTACCACGGGGGCTATCTTCCCTTTCGGGACCCCAACAGCGAGGAGAACAGCAATGATATTGCCCTGGTCCACCTCTCCAGTCCCCTGCCCCTCACAGGTAAGTCTGAGGGGTAAGCCTTGGGACTTGGGGACCTGAGGCCAGGAGGACAGAGGAGGGGACCACGGGCACAGGGGAATCAACTTATGGTTCAGGCATCCCTGGCAATAAGGGGAATGATCTCGAGGGAGCACAAAGTGAGCCTTAACTATCAATGGTCAGTGCAGTCAATTTGGAAAACTTACCGGCATTTCCCCAAGAAGCAAACATGAAGTTACCATTGGACCCAACGCTTCCACTCCTAGCGTAGGAGATATATACCTAAGACAAATGAAAACTGCGTCTACACCAAAACTTGTACATCAATGTTCATAGCAGCATTATTCATAATAGCCCAAAGATGGAAACAGCCCAAGTGCGTTTCATTGGACAAATGCATAAAGAAAATGTGGTATATTGGCTGGGCATGGTGGCTCAAGCCTGTAATCCCAGCACTTTGGGAGGCCGAGTTGGGCGGATCATGAGGTCAGGAGTTTGAGACCAGCCTGGCCAACATGGTGAAATTCCATGTCTACTAAAAATACAAAAATTAGCCGGGCGTGGTGGCAGGTGTCTGTAATCCCAGCTACTCGGGAGGCTGAGGCAGGAGAATCACTTGAACCGGGGAGGTGGAGATTGCAGTGAGCCGAGATCGCACCACTGCACTCCAGCCTGGGTGGAGCAAGACTCCATCTCGAAAATTAATAAATAACAAAATAAATAAATAAATAACAAAAAAATTAAATGTGGTATATCCATACAACGGGCGAATATTGGACCATAGAAATGAATGAGGTACTGATTCATGCTACCACAAGGATGAACCTTGAGAACAGTGCTGAATGAGACAAGCCAGCCACAAAGGCCACGTACTATAGGATGCCACTTGTATGAAATGTCCAAGGCTGGGCATGGTGGCTCATGCCTGTAATCCCGGCACTTTGGCCAGCTGAGATGGGAGGATTGTTTGTGCTCAGGAGTTTAAGACCAGTCTGGGCAATATAGCAAGACCCCAACACTTTATAAAAATGAGCTGGCCGGGCGCGGTGGCTCACGCCTGTAATCCCAGCACTTTGGGAGACTGAGGCGGGCGGATCACGAGGTCAGGAGATCGAGACCATCCTGGCTAACATGGTGAAACCCCGTCTCTACTAAAAATACAAAAAATTAGCTGGACGCGGTGGTGGGCGCCTGTAGTTCCAGCTACTTGGGAGGCTGAGGCAGGAGAATGGCGTGAACCCGGGAGGCGGAGCTTGCAGTGAGCCGAGATTGCGCCACTGCACTCCAGCCTGGGCAACAGAGCGAGACTCTGTCTCAAAAAAAAAAAAAAAAAAAAAAATGAGCTAGGTGAGGTGGCGCATACCTGTAGTTCCAGTTACTCAGGAGGCTAAGGCAGGAGGATCACTTGAGCCCAGGAGTTCCAGGCTGCAGTGAGCTAGGATTGTGCCACTGCACTCCAGCATGGGTAACAGAGCAAAACCCTGTCTGTTAAAAAGGAAAAAAAGAAAAAAAGAGAGAAAAATATCTAGAATAGGCACACCGGTAGAGATAGAAAGTTGATTGATGGTGGCAGGGTGGGAGGTGGGGATGGGAGATTGGGAGGTGACTGGTGAAGGACACAAGGTTTCTTGTCTGGGTGATGAAAGATTCTAAGTCGATCATGATGATGGTTGCACTTGTCTGTGACTATACAAAAAGTCAGTGACTTGGTTCCTTTGAAAGGAATTGCGTAATATGTGAATAATAGTTCAATGAAGCTGTTACCAAAAAACTAATAAAATAAGAAGAAAATTTGTTAAAAAATGAATGAATCAGAGTTAGAAAGTAAGTTAGGAGTCATTCCCTCTGCAATTCCCTGGAGTACTTCCTTGGTCTTACTGAGAAAGACTCACTTGGGTGCCAATGTGTCCTTAACACCTCTCCAACACGTACATCTTCCTTTTGGATTAAAAACAGGCCTTGGGCTTCAGATTTCAGCAGCCCACAGTGTAATAATAATAATAAAAATAGGCCGGGCATGTAATCCCAGGCCAAGGCAGGGGGATCGCTTGAGCTCAGGAGTTCAAGACTCGCCAGGGCAACATGGCAAAACCCTGTCTCTACAAACAATAAAAAAAATTAGCTGGCCATGGTGGTGCGTGCCTGTGGTCCCAGCTACTTGGGAGGCAGAGGCAGGAGAATCACCTGGTCACCCAGGAGATCAAGGCTGCAGTGAGCCATGATCACACTACTGCATTCTAGTCTGGGCAATAGAGCGAGACCCTGTCTCAAAACATAATAATAATGACGGTGATAATGATGATCATGAAGTAGTAATAGCGATCATGATGAGTGTACACAACACAGTAAAATAATCTGGTAAACATAGCAGTGAACACCAATGCTGGCACGCAGCCTCCTGTGTGCCAGGCACCGTTCAAAACATGTCCTGTGTATGGACTCACTTAGTTCTCACAGCAACCCCAGCACACCCTGGTAAGGGGGCGTTCTCTTTAGATCCTGTTTTACCACCTGGGAAAAGGTCCCAACCCAAAGAAGGCAAACAATGCCAGGAATTCATACAGCTGGTAAACGGAAAGATTTGCGTCCAGGTGGACTGGCACTGGAATCTGTGCTTGTGGCCCCCACGCTGTGGTGACGGAGAATCCGGCCATGCTGGGGTTGGCATTATGTTTATTTTTATGTTTATTTTCTTTTTCATGATCTGTGATACTGGTTTCCCATTGAAGGGAGTGATACATGCTTTTCTTTAAAACCAAACCCTGTCCTGACATAGTGGCTCACGCCTGTAATCGCAGCACTTTGGGAGGCTGAGGCAGGCAGATCACTTGAGGTCAGTTCGAAGCCAGCCTGACCAACGTGGTGAAACCGCATCTCTACTAAAAATACAAAAATTAGCCAGGCGTGGTGGCAGGGGCCTGCAATCCCAGCTACCCTGGAGGCTGAGGCAGGAGAATCACTTGAACCCGGGAGGTGGAGGTTGCAGTGAGCCAAGATTGTTGCCACACCCTTCTCAGACTTAGTGAAAAGAGTGAGGGAGTTAACCCTGAAGTAAGAACGTGTCTTTGAGGACACAGGTAGACAGGTGGAAGCCACTGGGGTTTCAGACACAGGGCCGAGGGGGTCACAGCATGGGCTTTGGGGTCAGATTCAGGTATTTGCCAACTGCGTGATTTTGGACACAGGGCTTCGCCTCACTGTGCCTCAGTTTCCCTTATCTGTAAAATGACTTCCCAGGGTTATCGAGACAATTAAAAGGGTTAATATGAGTAAAGAGTTTAGAGGACTGCCGGCACATAGTGAACACTGGTAAATGTTAGCAGCAATTGCTACTGTTGTTAATACTTTTACTAGTTATATGAACACTTGCTGTTTGCCTGGCATGCTACTCAATGACTCACCAATTTCTCACTACAACTTCTGGGGATAAGTGATTATTATTTCCATTATACGTCTGAGAGCTGGAAGACTCAGGCAGGTGATGTCATCAGCAGGCTGTAGGCAACAGGCAGGGCTGCCAGGAACCCTTGCATAGGTTGTGCACAGCACAAGGACACCACATCTCAGGGGTGCCATTCTCTGTGTAGACCTGTGTATTTATTATTATGATCTTCTGACAGGTGGAAGTCAAATGTCTCAAGATAGGAGTCTCTTTCTTTTCTTTCCTTCTTTCCTTCTTTCTTTGACAGAGTCTTGCTCTGTTGCCCAGCCTGGAGTGCAGTGGTGCACTCTTGGCTCCCTTCAACCTCTGCCTCCCAGGTTCAAGCGATTCTCCTGCCTCAGCCTCCCGAGTAGCTGGGATTACAGGCACCTGCCACCTGTAATACCAATGCTTTGGGAGGCTGAGGCAGGAGGATTGCTAGAGCCCAGGAGGTCGAGGCTGCAGTGAGCCATGTTCCTGCCACTGCACTCTGGCCTGGGTGACACTGCAGGCTTAGAAATGAAAACAAGTGGCCAGACGTGGTGGCTCACACCTGTAATCCCAGCACTTTGGGAGGCCGAGGTGGGCAGATCACAAGGTCAGGAGATCGAGACCATCCTGGCTAACATGGTGAAACCCCATCTCTACTAAAAATACAAAAAAATTAGCCAGGCGTGGTGGCGGGCGCCTATAGTCCCAGCTTCTCTGGAGGCTGAGGCAGGAGAATCTCTTGAACCCGGGAGGCAGAGCTTGCCGTGAGCCGGGATCGCGCCACTGCACTCCAGCCTGGGCAACAGAGCGAGACTCTGTCTCAAAAAAAAAAAAAAAAAGAAAAAGAAAAAGAAAAGCTGTGTTAAAACAGACTTGTTATGAAACTTTGGACACACGACTTGGCCTCATTTTCCCCCTCTGTAAAATGGGATAATACAGACCTTACCTCTCTGGACTGATGGAAGATTAAAGAAAATGGTGCAGGAAGGCGCCTAGTATGCAATGAGTTCTCGGTAGATGGCAACTTCTGTTGTGGTTTTTTTGTTTGTTTGTGTGTTTGTTTTTGAGACAGAGTCTTGCTCTGTCGCCCAGGCTGGAGTGCAATGGCGCGATCTCGGCTCACTGCAACCTCCACCTTCTGGGTTCAGGTGATTCTCCTGCCTCAGCCTCCCAGGTAGCGGGGATTACAGGTGTGTGCCACCATGCCCGGCTAAGTTTTGTATTTTTAGTAGAGACTTCGCCATGTTGGCCAGGCTGGTCTCAAACTCCTGACCTCAAGTGATCCTCCTGTCTCGGCCTCCCAAAGTGCTGGGATTACAGGCATGAGCCACCGTGCCTGGCCTATTGTGGTTATTTTAAAAGGACAGAGGGCAGGGTGTGTTAGGGGCCATGGTGGGAGCTAGACAGAGGTTTGTACCAGGTGGGGCAGCCCAGCGGGGGCTGGACCAGCATGGTCTCTCTCACAGAATACATCCAGCCTGTGTGCCTCCCAGCTGCTGGCCAGGCCCTGGTGGATGGCAAGATCTGTACCGTGACGGGCTGGGGCAACACGCAGTACTATGGTGAGTCCTGTCCTCTGCCTCTGATGCCACTGTTTGGGAGACTCTGAACTGGGCTGGGGATGGGCAGTGTGGCCGGTTGGATGAGTCTTGACCATGAGGAGTAGGGATGCTGAGGGGAATGGGGTGGGCACCAGGAGGGAAGGGGGATGTGTACACCCCCCAGCTCTGGCCAGCCTTGCCTGCACACCCCCAGGCCAACAGGCCGGGGTACTCCAGGAGGCTCGAGTCCCCATAATCAGCAATGATGTCTGCAATGGCGCTGACTTCTATGGAAACCAGATCAAGCCCAAGATGTTCTGTGCTGGCTACCCCGAGGGTGGCATTGATGCCTGCCAGGTGAGGGACTCTGTAGGGGCAGCCCCCTGGCTGCTGCCACCCCAGGGATGGAGACGCAGGGGAGTGGGTGGTTGGGCTCCCTATCTAAAAGCCTGAGGGCTCTGGGGCCACAGCCCATGGTCATCCCGAGGGGCGCCTCCTGTCCAACCACCTTGGCCCCTAGCCAGGCCTCCCTCTCCCCTCCCAGGGTGACAGCGGTGGTCCCTTTGTGTGTGAGGACAGCATCTCTCGGACGCCACGTTGGCGGCTGTGTGGCATTGTGAGCTGGGGCACTGGCTGTGCCCTGGCCCAGAAGCCAGGCGTCTACACCAAAGTCAGTGACTTCCGGGAGTGGATCTTCCAGGCCATAAAGGTGAAAGTTGGGCCCAGATGGGAACCAGGATGGGGATGTTTGGGCCTCTAATGGGGAAAGGGAGGCAGAGATTTGTTTTAGGAGACCTACGCTCAGGCCTAGAAGAGGGCCCCCCTCGGGAACAGATGGACTTTGAAGGGCTCCTGGGGAAGGGAGGCCAGTGGTGGGATATGGAAGCCTCTCAGACCTCGGGAGCCGCCAGCTGTCTTTCCCCAGACTCACTCCGAAGCCAGCGGCATGGTGACCCAGCTCTGACCGGTGGCTTCTCGCTGCGCAGCCTCCAGGGCCCGAGGTGATCTTGGTGGTGGGATCCACGCTGGGCCTAGGATGGGACATTTTTCTTCTTGGGCCCGGTCCACAGGTCCAAGGACACCCTCCCTCCAGGGTCCTTTCTTCCACAGTGGCGGGCCCACTCAGCCCCGAGACCACCCGACCTCACCCTCCTGACCCCCGTGTAAATATTGTTCTGCTGTCTGGGACTCCTCTCTAGGTGCCCCTGATGACGGGATGCTCTTTAAATAATAAAGATGGTTTTGATTAATGCGGCCTCCGAGCTTACAAATGTACACAGCAATGAGGACGTTTTGGCGGGAGGGAGAAGAATTAGGACCTGGCGCAAATCAGGCAGAGAGTGTGGGTCCCTCAGTTACCACTGATTTTAGATATAAGATTTTAGTTGGTTCACTTAACTGGAATTTTCCTGGAGCACATTGGCTTCAGGTACAGCTGGATCCAGCTGCTCTCTCAAATCTGCCTTACTCTGTGTTAGCTTCATTTCCAAGCAGCCTCTCCTACAATCAGCGAGGGAGATGGCCCCTTCCACACAAACTCTTTCCCAATCAATTCTGCAGAAAAAGTCCCAGGCAACAAAATTCTAGGCCCAGCTCCCATTGTACAGATTTGGGTCACGTGCTCATCCCTAGGCAAATCACTGTGCACCTGATGCACGGGGTAGGGGCGGAGCAGGGTGGAGTGGGAGGAGCTAGGCCTTCAAGAACCATGTGACCTGAGTGTGGGAATCCCAAAGAAAAATAGGGTGCTATTTCCAGAAGTGGAAGTAGATGCTCAGTGAGCAAAAAAGACATCTACCTTGAACCAGGACGGAAAATGGGGCCCTGCAGGGTGGAGACAGGGACACTAGACGCTGGGAACACAGCCTCCCCGCCAACCCTTTCTCCATCTGGGCAGCTTCTGGGGAGGGAACCCCCTTCTCTTCTGCACCGGGGCTGCAGAGCCTCATGCAGCCCCGGTGGCCACCAGGGGGCACTGCTGCCTCAACATTGTGACACATTAAGGGGTTTTCTGCCTGGAATCGGCCACGGGTTGCTGAAAACCTGCTGTTCTGCTGAAGAAAGGCTCAGCGGGGGGCCTGTTCACCACGACTTTAAATAATAACAATTATAATACATCACCCAACCGCCACAGCTCCCAAGCACTTTCCTTTTTTTTTTTTTTTTTTGAGACAGAGTTTCACTCTTGTCTCCCAGTTTGGAGTGCAGCTGCGTGATCTTAGCTCACTGCAACCTCCGCCTCCCAGGTTAAAGCAATTCTCCTGCCTCCTGCCTCCGCCTCCTGAGTAGCTGAGATTACAGGCTTGCGCCACCACACCCGGCTGATTTTTGTATTTTTAGTAGAGACAGGCTTTCACCATGTTGGCCAGGCTGGTGTCAAACTCCTGACCTCAGGTGATCCGCCTGCCTCGGCCTCCCAAAGTGCTGAGTGTCACGCACGTCCGTGTGAAGAGACCACCAAATAGGCTTTGTGTGAGCAATAAAACTTTTTAATCACCTGGGTGCAGGCGGGCTGAGTCCGAAAAGAGAGTCAGCGAAGGGAGATGGGGTGGGGCCGTTTTATAGGATTTGGGTAGGTGGTGGAAAATTACGGTCAAAGGGGGTTGTTCTCTGGCGGGCAGGGGCGGGGGTCACAAGGTGCTCAGTAGGGGAGCTTCTGAGCCAGGAGAAGGAATTTCACAAGGTAATGTCATCAGTTAAGGCAGGAGCCAGCCATTTTCACTTCTTTTGTGATTCTTCAGTTACTTCAGGCCATCTGGATGCGTGCAGGCTTGGGCTCAGAGGCCTGACACTGGGATTACAGGTGTCTGCCGCCACACCCAGCTAATTTTTGTATTTTTAATAGAGACAGGCCGGGCGCGGTGGCTCAAGCCTGTAATCCCAGCACTTTGGGAGGCCGAGGCGGGTGGATCACGAGGTCAGGAGATCGAGACTATCCTGGCTAACATGGTGAAACCCCGTCTCTACTAAAAATACAAAAACTAGCGGGCGTGGTGGCGGGCGCCTGTAGTCTCAGCTACTTGGAGGCTGAGGCGGAGAATGGCGTAACCGGGAGGCGGAGCTTGCAGTGAGCCGAGATCACGCCACTGCACTCCAGCCTGGGAGACACAGCGAGACTCCGTCTCAAAAAAAAAAAAACAAAAAAAAACAAAACAAAAAAATAGAGACGGGGTTTCACTATGTTGGCGAAGCTGGTCTCAAACTCCTGACCTCAGGTGATCCACCCACCTCAGCTTCCCAAAGTGCTAGGATTACAGGTGTCCACCACCACACCTGGCTAATTTTTGTATTTTTACTAGAGACAGGGTTTCACCATGTTGGCAGGCTGGTCTCGAACTCATGACCTCAGGTGATCCGCTCACCTCAGCCTCCTAGTACAAGCGTAAGCCACTGCGCCCAGCCCAACTTCCTAAAATGTAAACAACCTACAAGAACTCCTTTGAGAAACACAAACTATGCATTTGGAAAACGATCCCAGCGTCAGTCCCTGACCCCCACACCCCTGGCGAGGTTGAGCCCCACCACGGCTTTGTTGGTCAGGAACCCCCAGGCCCACATCTCGTTAGCAGAGCCTCAGTGCAGTTTCCCCAAACGTCTACCTCTGGCTGTCGTGTTCTACCCATAGGATGTGGGATGTAATTTGAGACCTGTCCTAAGGCTTGCTTTGCTGGAGACATATTGAGTTACAACAAGGAGTGACTGAGTTTTCCTTTGTAATTGCCAGCTGAGAAACCTACTGTACCTATGTTTTAGGAAGTTTGGGGACTCTGAGAGAACACGGTCCACCCTGGGGGTTCTGAACCGACGTGACCATGTCCTGGAGGGACACGGTTCGCCTTGGTGAGGAGGAGGGCGGGTGTGAGGGGCACTGAAGAAGGCTTGGCCCTGCCCTGGGAAGTCTGGGGGGATGTGGCTTTATTCTAGGGGATCCGATGGAAATTTGGTCATTAAAAGTCAACAGGCAGCCTGCTGGGAAAATAAAAACCAGGTGGCCATGTTCCCGGAAAGGGGTCCCAATCCAGACCCCAAGGGTTCTTGGATCTCGTGCAAGAAAGAATTCAGGGTAAGTCCACAGAGTAAAGTGAAAGCAAGTTGATTAAGAAAGTAAAGGAATAAAAGAATGGCTACTCCATAGGCAGAGCAGTCCCAAGGGTTGCTGGTTGCAAATCGTTGTGGTTATTTTTTGATTTAGTCTTGATTTCTTGTTTAGTTATGCTAGACGAAGGGTGGATTATTCACGCCTCCCTTTTTTAGACCATATAGGGTAACTTCCCCAACGTTGCCATGGCATTTGTAAACTGTCATGGCGCTGGTGGGGGGTGTAGCAGTGAGGACAACCAGAGGTCACTTTCGGGGCCATCTTGGTTTTGGTGGGTTTTCCTGACTTCTTTACTGCAGCCTGTTTTATCAGAAAGGTCTGTATGACTTGTATCTTGTGCGGACCTTCTATCTCATCCTCTGACTTAGAATGCCTTAATTTACTGGGAATGCGGCCCAGTAGGTCTCAGTCTTACTTTATCCAGGTCCTATTCAAGATGGAGTTGCTCTGGTTCAAACGCCTCTGACAGCCATTCTGAGTTCTGTCTGCATTATTGCTTTGTTGGAGGAGTGGAGGGGCTGGGGAGATTGTGATTCACTCAACAGCCATTCACTAGTTTCCCTTGTATGCCAGGGGTCAGTGAGCCTCAGTTTCTCCTCCTGCTCCCAACAACCTTGCCACTCACCCCAAGGAGCCAGGAAGATATTAAAAAAGAATAATAACAGTGACAAGGTTGCTTTGAGGTCCTGCCAGGGTCTCGGTCTTTAGAAGAGCTGAATATGAAAATTACTTCCATGTCATTGCGGTGCTGCTCAGAATCAGAAATATTTGACCCATCTTATGGAATTAGTGCAACTATATCAGGAACCCAAGACATGCTTTGCATTCCTATTTAGCACTTATATCTACATAGTCCCTTTCAAATATAGAAAAGCTTTCTGGATGTCACTTGGAACAGATAGCTCCATATGTGGTTATAAGTTGGCATTCTCCCAGTCGGGTTGAAGGAGAAGTGTACAGCTACTCTGCCACAAAAGTTATTTCATACATAAAATAACGGCCATGATTAGCAATGACCCTGAAGGCCATTCATTTTATATTCAGAAATAATTATTGTGAACATTCAGATAGCGGCATAAGAAGGGAGATGGACTTTAGTTTCTGCATAAAAGGTAACACAGTTTCAGTCCTGCAGTTATGAAGGGAGGAGCTGTTTTGGCTCTTGCTGCATGACAAACCACCCAAAGCTAGTGGGTACAGTAAATGCTCACGGATTCTGCGGCTCAGAAAGTTGGACAGGGAATAGCAGGCACAGCTTCTCTCTGCTCCATGATGACCAAGTCAGGCCAGGCACTATTCTAGGTATTGGAGAAATATAGGGGACAGAACAAACTGTCATGTGCGTCTATGTGAAGAGACCACCAAACAGGCTTTGTGTGAGCAGTAAAACTTTTTAATCACCTGGGTGCAGGCGGGCTGAGTCTGAAAAGAGAGTCAGCGAAACGAGATAGGGATGGGGCCGTTTTATAGGATTTGGGTAGGTAGTGGAAAATTACAGTCAAAGGGGGTTGTACTCTGGCGGGCAGGGGCAGGGGCCACAAGGTGCTCAGCAGGGGAGCTTCTGAGCCAGGAGAAGGAATTTCACAAGGTAATATCATCACTTAAGGCAAGGACCAGCCATTTTCACTTCTTTTGTGGTGGAATGTCATCAGTTAAGGCAGGGACAGGGCATTTTCACTTCTTTTGTGATTCTTCAGTTACTTCAGGCCATCTGGGCATATATGTGCAAGTCACAGGGGATACAATAGCTTGGCCTGGGCTCAGAGGCCTGACATTCCCGTCTTCTTATATTAATAAGCAAAATAAAACAAAATAGTGTTGAAGTGTTGGGGTGGCAAAAATTTTGGGGGGTTGGTATGGAGAGATAATGGGCAATGTTTCTCAGGGCTGCTTCAAGTGGGATTAGGGGCGGCATGGGAACCTGCAGTGGGAGAGATTAAGCTGAAGGAAGATTTTGTGGTGAGGGTTGATATTGTGGGATTGTTAGAAGGAGCATTTGTCATACAGAATGATTGGTGATGGCCTGGATGCGGTTTTGTATGAATTGAAAAACTAAACGGAAGACAGAAGGTCTGAATAAGAGAAGGAGAAAAAACAGATATTAAAGGACTAAGAATTGGGAGGACCTAGGACATCTAATTAGACAGAGCC